TATATATATATATATATATATATATATATATATATATATATATATATATATATATATATATATATATATATATATCATCCCCAGACTAAGTATTTTGGGTGTAAAATTTATATCATCATCAGATTAAATATTTTTAAACCCTTTAGTTTTTAAATAAGTGGATGTGATACATTACTGACAATTAATATTTTAGATGAAAAATATAAAAGGACTACTGTACCTTGTATATATATATATGATTTATTCATTTTATAGCATGCATATCTTTTTTGTTTTCTCATTATTTTTCAGATTGTTTTTGTTACTGATTTATCAATGCAGTCTGTGAGATTCTTCATGTAAGATGTTATTGTGACTATCGTACAGTATTCTTCGAAACAAATTTAACGAGCACGGGAGAGAAGCGTCAGGAAGCATCGGGTGGTGGACCGGAATACCTGAGGAAAAGGAGACACGTGACACGTGAGGAAGATGGAGAACGCATGCCGGATGTTGGACCCCAATACCTGCAAACGTGTCTTTTGTAAACGTTTTTGCAAAAACAAATCTTATTTTTGTTTCAAGAATATCTTTTCCACAATATTTTAAAAACATGGCAAAACATTGCCTTTATATTTTTTTTCATTTTATTTTATTTTTACAGAAATAATATAATAGATGATGAAACGAGATTTCATCGTAACAATTGAATTATTTGACATCTTCACCTAAAATTCTTGTGCGAGTAATATTTGTCAAAAGATCTTTATTTATATGATAGATACCTAAAAGTTACATCATTATATATATATATATATATATATATATATATATATATATATATATATACCTAAAATTCTAATAATATCTTTTTTTTACTTAATGCTTGAAATAATCTTGATTTGACAATCAATCATCTATCCTTTGTCAATATATAGATTAATGGATCCAAGAGACTATATTATATATGACTTTTTTTGAATTTTTCTCAAGAAAGTACTTCCATTTCTAGAAATACCTAATAACATTTTTTTTCTCTATTACTTGGAATACCCAACCACCTATAAATGATGGTAAAGGATCCATCATTCTAATTCAAAATATTTGCGACATCAAATATGATTTCTATGGAGAAACTCCATGCAACCAGTCCAATCTAAATAAGAAAAGACAAACAATTGGTAAGCATAATTTCTACATAACCAATGTTTGTCCAACCAATAGAACGGCTATACCAAGACAATGTACCAAATCTCACAAGAAATCCTCAGGAGTAAACAAAGTAGTACACCAAGATCTACGCAAGGAATGGAGAAAGCAGGTTTTACCGGTAGACAATTTCCATAATATGATTGTTTCTTATTCGTTAATACAGACTAGGAAGGCCAGATGCATTAGAGATGAAATGATCAGCCGCATAATTATGACTCCATATCTTCAAATTATTAAGGTTTTACTAGCATTGACACCTGAATACTCACTTCCACTTCCTGAACTTGCCATGCTTCCCATGTTTATGCTTGCCATATTTGCCGTGCTTGAACTTCCCATGGTGCTTGAACTTGCCATGGTGACCAGGCATATGGCCATGGTAGCCACCGTGCCCAGCATGATGATGACCATGAGCCAGGTGGTGTGCTCCATACCCAGCTGCAGCCACCGCTGCACCACCGGCTATCAGTGTGCCCATATGAGAACCATGGCCTGCAAGTAGGTGATGGAAATTAAGCACACCGACATCAAAACTTTTCTCAAGTAGACAAGTCTGCAGTATGCATAACTTGCTCTGAAAAACTGTGGCTTAGAGAATTAGAAACCCTGCTTGTGAGAATAATTTGTTATTGTTATGTTTATGAGAAATGCTTCTGATCAACTTGCTAAGAATTCAAAAAAGAACAAAAAAAACTTGGTAGGAATTCAGTGACGAACATATATCTTAGTAGAATGGACTAATTTAGCACCTGCAATAGAAATTCATAGCTTGATGTGGGGCAGCAGCACATAGACAGCTATCTTGATGTGCTTGTGAGAATGATTCATGCAGTCTTCATAGAAAAATTTAAGCATTCTAAAAATCAGCAGAACTCTATGTTGCAAATAATGAACTGAAAAGTTTTCTTTAACGAAATCATTATTCTTTTTTTCTATTCTTTGGGAAATAATATGAACCAACTTGTTAAAAGCAACTTGCATGAACTGGTTTAGCATTTGGAGTAACAATTCATACCTTGATGTGGTGGAGCAGATGAACCAGGATAACCTGCAGGTGGGTATGCAGTAGGGGGATACCCCTGAGGAGGGTATCCACCAGTAGAGGGATACCCCTGAGGAGGGTATCCACCAGGTGCAGGGGCGTATGCAGCAGGGGGATACCCCTGAGGAGGATACCCATATTGAGGAGGGAATCCACCAGGTGCAGGGGGGTAAGGCTGTGGTTGGTATGCCTCAGGCGGTGGAGGATACCCTGCTGGTGGATATCCAGGATAACCATGTCCATGTAATCCTTTGTCGCCGCTGCCTTCCCCATCATGCTTATCCTTCCCTCCTCCCATTTTCCTCACTGCAAGTGGCTGGCACAATGGGAAAAACAAGGGGGGAAAGTAACAAAAAACGAAAAAGAAGAAAACAAAAAAATAGTAGCAGTAGGTCACTGGAATTGCACTTGCATTCATGATATATAATAAAATTTTATGAGGATCAATCCAACAACACTCATCTAAAGCTGGTGGCCAGTTTGTAGCCCATGCAACCCCAAAATGACTAATCACAGCTCTCAATTTTCAGATTGCATTTTAAGCCTAAGGAAGAATCTAAATTAAGATGCATATAGGAAGCTTAACTATACGGTGCATAGATTTCTTCTGGCCTCAGATAAGCCAATGGGCACATGGAAAAAAGAAATCAAATAAAAAAAAAAACTCCCCCTTTTTTCCTATTTCTTGTTTTTCTTACGAAGGTTTAAACCTCATACATGATTTCTGTTTCTTGATCTTTTGCAACGGCAACTAATCCCACAAGTACTTTAAAGAGCTTTGAGAACAAATAAAAGATTTGAGCATCATTTAGAACTTTTTCAACAATAAAATTATACATTTGCCTTAATTTTCGAAACAGTAAAAAAATCAACTCAAATATCCCTCGTAGAATTCATTAGTTGGAGCAAAAACATTGACGATTATCGATCTTGATTGCTATCAAAAATAAAAAAATGAACTAAATGCACGAAGCTCCCATCAATGAAGAGAATCAATATACGAAGCTACGGTATAGAGGTGCTATGTTTGAGACTCGGACATTCTGTCTCCCACGTCCCGTATCAGACCAGCCCACACTCGATGCCACAAAACTCTATCAGAAACCAAGATCCCAACAATCTAAGAATCCGTCATTCATGGATCCAAGAACATCTGTAGACCTACTCTGTTATCTAAGATCCAAGGTCTCTTACATAGCAGAACCGTGTCTGGTTTCCATCCTCCCCACTAGCCAATATCCAAGATTTTCTCGACATACCGGAACCGGATCTTGTCAAACCATCCCGTGCCAAGATTTGCCCCCAGTAATCCCGGACTAATTCATATAGGACATTCTACGAAAATTAAACCCCAACAGATAGAGGACAAACCTAACTGCGATCCCGATCAAGAAAACAATTGATCTACAGATGAAGTTCTAAAGAATAGAAACCTAACGGCAGCAGCGTCGTCAATGATTCCGATCAAGAAATGGGGAAGAGGCTTACCAGGACTACGGAGAGGAGAATCGCAGATCCGCAAAGCTCGGAAGACGCACACGCACACTCGCTCTCTCTCTCTCTCTCTCTCTCTACATATATATACGTGTGCGTCTTCTTTGTTCGCTTCCTACTACCAGGAGACTCCACTCGAAGGGCCCACGCAATGTTGGGGAGCCCACTACCATTTCGGGAACGTTTGTTCGCGGGTCCACTCTTGGTGGGGCCCTCTGGGGTCACGCCCAACCATGTGAAGATTTAGGTGGTGGGTTTCTCGTTTAACACCCACTTGGGTATTAATAATATAAATTATATATATATATATATATATATCAAGAAAGCTGCATCCGTTTTAATTTTATATCTTTTCAACGCTCCACCCATTTTAATTTTGGATTTGTAGAAACTTCATAAAGTAAATAAAATTAGATTCTTAGAAACAAGAAATTTGGTAGAAATCTTTTAACGTTGCTTGGTAATATTATGATTAAATGCTATTTATTTTTTTATTTAGCTCCGGAAATTAAAACCTTTCTCCTGCCACGTTCCAAACACGTGATCAAGGTGGTCCGGATTTGGGTTGATTCACCTACGCGTGAGAAACAAATCCATAAGCGCCAAGCTTCGCATCATCTGCCACTTCAGCGATCCGTGCTTATCAAATTAAACCAACATGAGCCGTCCATCTATCCATCATCAACGGCTACAACTACCTCCAAGTCCGCACCTCGGATCTGCAACCTCGTCATTGTCACCATAAATATTCATCAAACCCGACGACACTCCTCCGTCGCTCCGAGCGCAGACGATCTCATAACCTGAGGCATGTAGACGATGTTACCTCTTCCCGTCGATGGCTAGTTTCCTAAATTTCTTTCGTGATCTTTGTGATTTGATCTAATGGCGCTTCCGATTGATGCAGAAGCTTGTAGGTTTTGCTCTGTCCGAAGGCGATGTCGGGGCGAGGGAAGGGCGGCAAGGGTTTGGGCAAGGGCGGGGCGAAGCGCCACCGCAAGGTGCTCCGCGACAACATCCAGGGCATCACCAAACCGGCGATCCGGCGCCTGGCGAGGAGGGGCGGCGTGAAGCGCATCAGCGGCCTTATCTACGAGGAGACCCGCGGCGTCCTCAAGATCTTCCTCGAGAATGTGATCCGAGACGCTGTTACCTACACCGAGCACGCCCGTCGGAAGACCGTCACCGCCATGGACGTCGTCTACGCCCTGAAGAGGCAGGGAAGGACTCTCTATGGTTTTGGTGGTTAGGGCTTTGTGTTTGTTAAAAGTCTTGCTGTCAAGAAACTAAAAACGACGGCGGATTGGATTAGTCGCTAATCTAATGGTTTCTTTAGTCTAATGCCGTCTGGTTGTCGTCGACGCATCGTGTATAAGAAGAGTTCTGTAGCCATTTCTCACGATTATGCAACCAATATTACAGTCTTTCTGGGAATTTGATTTGGTTTTCTCGAGAACGATGGAATGGAGTGGTAATTAAATCATGCCAACCAAATTACAATTAGAGAGAGTTGTTTTAATAGCAAAAAGAAGATTTTTAAAGGATTTGAAGTATAATTGTAGGGTAAATCCTGACCGTCAATCACCGGCAGCAGCGGAGGAGGAAGCCGGTGGTTTCTCGGGCCACACGCTGATTCTCTCCTTGTCGAATTTGATGAAAAGGGCGCCCGCCGCGGCGACGGTGTAGATCTGGATGAAGATGACGGCCGGCGCGTGGTAGCGGAGCAGCCCCTTGCCGGAGCCCAGCTCGACCAGCAGCAGCGCAGCCAACCCGAGCCCGGCCAGCCGCCCGTTTAGCCGCTCGCTGTAGGGGGTGAAGCCCAGCTCCACCGGCACGCCCCCTACAGCCATCGGCTCCCGCAGCGGAACCGGCGGGAGCAGCACGCTGCCCTTCTTCTTGCCGGATGAACCGGCGCCAGCGCCGGGGGACTTCCGGGCCTTACGCTGCTCGGCCTTCTTCCCGGTGCCGCTGCGGTACTTGAGCCGGATCTGGTTGAGCCGCTTCTCGAAGGAGGGGTCAGCGGCGGCCGGGGACTCCGCGGAAGCGTCCGACTCGGCGGGCTTGTCGTCGCCGGCAGCGGCGCGAGGGGGGAGCAACATGGGCGGCTTCCATGTGAAGAAGGTGGGCGGCGGGCTGAGGGTGGAGGGGAATGGGTTGGAGATTTGGAGTGCTTTGCCGGCCATGACTTGCTGTCACACGTCTGTGTGTGGTCTCGCGCCCTCTCTACTTTTCCTCTCTTGCGCACCGCAGAGAGCTGTGGATAATGCCGTTTCTTTCTATTATGCAATTTACACTATTTTTAGGAAATAATAATATTATAAATTTATAATATTATAAATAATAATATTTTTTAATATTATAAATTTTATTAAAAATATTATAATTGATATCTTAATTTTTAAATCAAATAGTGATATCTATTCGAAACCATAATTTTTATTAAATTTCGAGTCAATATTTATGACATATATATTTTTAATAGAATTATAGTGTTTTGATGGGTATAAAAAAACGGTGTAATCATATTTCAAAAATATTATAATTAACCATGTGAATCTTATATAAGAGGGATTAGATTGGTTCACCCATGGATTGATCCATAGGGTGTAATCAATACTGCTCCACTTGCCTTATCAAGAGGTTGTTTTAGGATTATTATAAATGAGGATTTTTTTAAAGAAATATGAAAGGAGTGTTTAAAAATAATTTAATTCAATTAAAGCATGGTACTTTGAATTGAATCTATTTCGAACCTACCTAATTGAATCGATTTTTAATTTTAAAAATATATATTTCCAATGAATATTCAATGAACTAGATCAATTTATTTGAATCAAACTATAATTTTGATCCAATTGAAGCTCATAAACTACAAGTGTTTTTTTTTTATTTTTGTATTGAAAGATGTCATAGAGGAATAATAATTTCACATGTAGTATTATTTTTTTCAATGATGAGGATATGTAGTGATGCATATAAATTAATAAAAGAATTTATATAAATGAACAAATAGATTATTAATGAAAAAATATAGAATTCATATTTGAAACGAGAGAGCAATACTAAAAAGCAGACAAAGAGGAAAAAATACATAAACCAAGGAAGAAAAATAAACTTACAGAGATTAGGAAATTATTTTAGGTTTTTCTAGGGTCTTTTGTTGAATCGGTATGCTTTAAATTAAAATCGACTCGATCGGAAGTCAATTAATTGAATCGGAGAAGAGTATCATCTCAATTTGAAATCATTTATAACATTTAAAACTAAGTTATTAATGAATCGATTCCAAAGCAATTCATGGTTCGATCTTTTTTTTACTATTTACAATCATATTTTAAAATTTTAAGAAGTTTTAAGGAATTGTGGGTAAGTACAATAAAAAAAGATAATATTAAGATCATAAATAATAAAATAATATTTTATTATTTTTTAAAAGAGATTGTCAATAGTAAAGAAAGCTATATAAATCGAAAAAGAGAGATTTTTTTTAAAGTCACCTATTATTGCTATATAAATAATAATAATAATAATTATTATATAAATATTCTTTATACTTTTTCTAAACAAATCGAGCAATTATAGGGCCTAAGACGATCTAGTTAGGTCAATTATAGGGCCTAAGACCATCTCACTTTATGGCTCACTAGGATAAATGCTACACACATGGATCTCTCTCTTCCCCGACAACAGCGAAGAGGGTTTGCAAGACTCAAAACTGTTGGTTGGGCTATTCAGGAGACCGATTCCTGAGGCATCTGCAGTGCGACGCTTGAGAGCGACGCCGCCATATTGATTTCAGATGGGACGCCGATCAACTATGCATAATTACTTATGGACGTCAGTGAGTGGTTGAAGCCGGTGAGAGGTTGGTCGGAACGCCATTTGCATGGATCGGTGAACCACCGCCAACAAAGAACGTCGACACTCACGTCTCGTACTCTGAACTCGAGCCATGGAATGTGGACTCTGCGGTAGAGCATTCATTCATGGCATGGAGTCGAAACCACCGGCGACTGGTACGAATGTTCCGAGGAGAAGAGACGATGGCGATAGAGCAGACTTCACGTTTAATATATGGATTTGGTGGTTTCTTGTCGCAGAACCCACTAGCGTTAGGTGACGGTGCGTGCCTCATCGAGGTTGCCCAACAAGGGGTCAATCGATTGCCCAATGGCGAGGGTTTCTTGGAGCCGAGGAAGACGTTGAGGACGGATGAACGCCGCCTTTGACTCCGCCGTGAGTCCATTAATTCACGGCTTGCCTGTGGTACATGTATCGATATCGACATGCGAGGGAGATACGTGCAGGTATGGCAGCTCACCACACATACTTCGTGATCCAACAAACTTGAAATCTCTCTTCTCATCGAACCGAATGAATCGAATTAGCAAACAAGCAGTGTTTTATTCAGATTTGCACTGAAACCACATCACATGAAGTAGTAGTTCGTCTCTTAGATCGTAAGAAATATAAAGAAAAGTTTAACATGAAGGAAGAAAGAAACTTCACAACACGGTGACGACATCTGTCTCTACCTCCTCTTGTTCCTGCTCCCGAGCAGGAGGGCGATGTAGAAGAGGAACCTAAAGAGGAAGCCCCACGCCACTGTAACCCACAGGCACTCCCACTTGTCGAGCTGAGTGATGCTCTGTTGCTTCAGGATGTCTGTGCCGGTGGTGATGCAGGTGGTGCCGGTGATGTTCGCCCCCAGGGAATTGCTCATGGACTTGAGCACGTTCAGCTTCATCACGTCCGGCAAACCACCCAGCGGCGTGTTGTCGAACATCTGAACGCCTCGGGCGAAGCACTTGTGCGAGTCGTCGAACTCGTTCTGCATCACGGCCTCGTAGGGGTACTTGACCAGCGACATGTAGTGGAACCAGATCCAGTAGTCGTGAATGCGGTCTCTGGTGATGAAGAAGCCACTGAAGAGTAGGAAGTAGGCCAGTATGGCGACGACGACGGTGTAACCTAGCATGACGTGCGTCACCACGCCGGAGAGGAAGGTGACGAAGCCGCTGCCTGCCCAGAAGGAGGCCAGGACGATCAGCACGAAGAATAAGAACCCCTGCGTGCCCCCAGCGAGGCCGACGGCGAAGAAGGTGGTCAAGGAGAAGGCGATGGACAGGAGGATCAGCGGCGGGAAGCCGACGATGGCATGCGAGAGGACGTAGGAGGAGCGGCGGTAGGCATTGTACGCCGTCTCTCGCATGAAGATGTTGCGCTCCTGGAGGAAGACAGGTAGTGCGTCGGCGCACGTGTAGAACATGGTGGACATGGCTATGGCGAAGAAGCCGAGCCGCTCCTGCACGCCCTTGGGCGAGTTGTCGAGCCGCCAGAAGATGGTGGCCAGGATGAATCCGGTTACGAGCACTGCGCCGAGGCGGATGGCGAACAGCTCCGGCATCCGCTTGGTGTTGGTGAACGACCGCTTGGTGAGCACCGCCATCTCGATCCAGAACGGATTGGCGTGCTTCTGGACGGACGAGGCAGACGTCGTCCTGTCTGTCGCGCCGGAGACGAGCTTGCCGCGAGAGATGCTGGCGCTGATGGCGTCCTTGAGAGAAACAGACGACTCCTCGGCGGTAGTCAGGGCGAGTTGTGTGTTCTGGCGCGACTTGTTGAAGTCGACGAGGGGCTTCGCACCGTCCGGAGTGCCCTCAGACTCGCGGATGAGGTCGAGCGCGAACTCTGTCGGGTTTTCGTTGTCGGGGATCGGGTGGCCGAAGTCGGCGAAGAACCGGGGGATGCCGTCAGGCGGACCGCTGTACACCGTCTGTCCGCGGGAGAGGAAAAGAAGGCGATCGAGAAGACACAGGATCCGGTAGCTCGGCTGGTGCACCGACATGATCACTATGCTTCCGCTGTGAGCAATCCTCTGTAACACCTTGACGACCATGAAAGCGCTGGTGGAATCGAGGCCGGACGTGGGCTCGTCGAGGAAGAGGATGATGGGGTCGTGGATGATGTCGATTCCGATCGACACACGGCGACGCTCTCCGCCGGAGACGCCGCGGTGGATCTCATCGCCGATGATGGTCTTGGCGGCGGACCGGAGGCCGAGCTGGTCGATCAGTGCTTGCACCCGGCTCTTCTTCTTCGAGGCGGACAGCGACCGCGGCAGCCGGAACTCCGCAGAGAACATCAAGGTTTCTTCCACGGTGAGCATGGGGTACAGGAGGTCGTCCTGCATGACATAGGCGGAGATCACCTTGAGGAGCCGCCCCTCGAGCTTCTCTCCGTTGAGGGTGATGGAACCCTGCAGGCTCTCCCGAACGATGCGGTTCGCAAGGGCGTCGATCAGGGTGGACTTTCCGGAGCCACTCGCCCCCAACACCGCGAAGATCTCCCCTTCCCTCGCCTCGCCAGAGATGGAATTCAAAAGCGTCTTGGTCCCAGAGATCGCCTCCATCGGCGGGAGTCCGGCGGCGGGGTCGACGGCGAGGCCGTTCGTGCGGAAGAGCGACATCTTCCGGTTCTTCTTCACGCTGTACGAGAGATCGGTGAAGGCGAGCACGAAAGGGACAGGGCGGGAGGCCAAGTGATCGCCGGCGCCACCTTCGGCGGCGAACTCATCGAGCTCGAGGACGTGGTGCTCCGGGGAGGCGTAGCCATCGTTCTCGGTGACGCCACCGCCGCTGTGTGCGTCGCCGACGCGCTTGAAGAGCTGCCCGAGGGTGATGGACTTGCCGCCGCCTCCGGAGTCCTGGTTAGCGTTAGCTCGGGTGCTGTGGTGGCCGAGCAGGCCGTCACGGTCGATGTCCTCGGCCTCTGCCATCGGGGAGGATCGCCGGTCGAACAAGGATATCATGGTATCGCTTCGCTATCCCCCTTTTATCCTACAATCAGAGCAGAGGAAGGAGAAGGTTAAACGGCGGGATAGCAGGGCAGTGTTTACGGTATCCACGGGGATATCGTGTACGTGACCCAAATCCAAAGAACAGTTGTGGAGAAGACTGCGTCGAGCGAGGGAGAGATGAGAGGAGAAGGCAGAGGAATAGCTTGTTGTGGTCATTCAACTCTCTCTCTCTCTCTCTCTCTCTTAATCACCCTATTTATACAGAGCAGTTTCTTGTGGCACCAAAAATTGGACTTTTGGAGATGGGAATAAGTAGGTGTGGGTGTTTAGCGACACTCGACCATCTACACGACCAAGAATGGAAGTATATATATATATATATGTATATATATATATCATACCCAACAGGAGAGAGGCTGAGGCTGCACTTGGGATTATATCATCGCAGGTGGTTGGAAGTTGGGACTAAGTTATCATTGAATGGATTTTCCACCGGGATAGGAGATGGCAGCGGTTAGGGTTTAGATGAGCCAAAAGAGTACGTTTAACAAAGAAGAAGATGATATCAGTCATCTATTATTATACGTCTAACTTGTGAAAGAATAATCTTATCATTGATATCATTATATGATAACATGTAAATTTGTCGAATGATTGTATTTGATATGGTAAGTATTTTTCACACAATATTAATTAAATAGTAATATCAAATTAGATTTGATATTATTTTTTTAATATTAAATATTTACTAGAGATTTAAGTCATTTATTAAATTAATCTAGTGTTCCATCGGAAAAATCAATTAACCCAACATGATCAGTGGGTAGAGTGACACTAACTATGGTCAGGTTTTGTATCATTCCGATTTAATGTCTGAGTTAGCACAAGAATTTAAACCTTGACCTGTCTTCTCAATTGTGAATTCTTGGAGTGTCCTAATTAATAATGCTGAAGCACGTACTACACGAATCTAATGGCTCGTCGACTTCTTTGTCTTAGGTGAGAAGACTTCCAAATCCATGGCGTCTTATTGCCGAGAAGTTGAAGTCTTCGTAGACAACACGGTTCAATACACGCAAAATGCTGTGGTCTTTGACACTCTCAAACATGAATCGACATGAATCAAACATGAATCGACATCAAACAGATTGTTGGAGGAATTGACCACATAAACACCCTCGGAGAAGTCTCACAGAATGCTGAACACTTTGGATGACAAATGAAGAGTGTAATTACATTGCCAGATTGTTGTACGAATAGAACATCACAATTAGGTCATCGGGAACCGATACGTCCTCGTTGGCAAGTAATCCGAACTACTCGAATCATCCGTTGAATGAATGAATGAGACCCGCCCAAGTCCACAATATTATGCAGGCCAGGCTTGGGTTGGAACAACCCATCTTTGTTTGATGGGTGCCGTATAACATCTTGATATTTATTTATTTATGAGTACATTCCCCAAATTTTTTTATTTTTCTTGATTAATATTTTTTTATTTATTTGAATGTGTCAACTAATTTAGTTGGTAAATTTTTTTACAATATACTGTAAGGTAATCTCTGACCTTCACCTCATCGATCGTCACTTCTACCTTTCTTTACGACTCTCGAACGTAGAAGAGTATATTGACAAGAATAACAACGAAAGCAAAAACACACGGACAAAAACAATAACAAAGGTGAGACATGAGGAGGCAAGCAAAGGTGACCACAATAAGCAATAAAAATGATGGAGAGAGAAAAAAAGACTAGGGTAATAAGTAACAATAAGTGATGAAGGCCAAGGATTTTATCCTTTTGAAAACTAGTTAGAAATAAGGAACACTTTTGCGGAAAATAAATGGATTGGAAGGCGCTAAATGGAAAAAAAAATTTAAACATGGATCAGAAGAATTTACCCTTTATTAATCTAGGGTCGAGGAACAGTTAGAACGGACGTTGAGCACGCCACCAGGTCAACGGTCATGTACGCGGTGTCTCATGTGGCACCAACCACCATGCGCTGGCTCACATGCGATAAACCTCGCTTCTCATCTTCGAGTCAACGCGTTATGTAACGTTGACTCTCATTTTAGGGTGCTTTCACAAGTCAACGGGTGGGAAACATGCCACAACATTCTACACATCCCTCCCTCGTTGAGTTTGAAGCAACATGGCGATGACTTCGTATTAGAACTCAAACCTAACAGCGGTTTCAGCCATCTTCACCAGACCGGATTCACTGTACTGCTGGATTCCAAGTCAACGTCTTCGATCTCCCATAATGAGCATTGTCAACGATCTCCCCCCCACCCCCCTCTCGGTCTCTCTCTCTCTCCACTTGCCCTCCATCGCGTGCATGCATAAAGGCCAAGCTACGGTCAGCTCATTCTCTCGCTTCAGACCTCCATGGCTGCCCACCTCTTTCCTTTTCATCCATGTCTCCTCTGCCTCTTCTTCTTCTTCTTCATCCTCTTTCTTGGAGCTGATGCAACTTCAGGTAAGGCATCATCTTCTTACCTTTGTATTAGGCACAGCTTTTCACCATTACTCTTCATGTTTCCTCACAGGCTTCATCAGCATCGACTGCGGTGCTTCAGATTCCTACACGGACGCCGACGGCATCCACTGGGAGAGCGACAGGGCATACATTTCCAATGGCGAGAGCCGAGCAGTGCAGAGCACCGAATCCATGGCCACGCCGCTGACAACGCTCCGTATGTTCTCGTCGAGGAAGAAGAACTGTTACCCGATCCTTCTCCCCGATGCCCGACGCATCCTCGCCAGAGTCAGCTTTCACTACGGCAACTACGACAAGAAGGCGGCGCCGCCGACGTTCGAGCTCCAGTTCGACGGCAACAGCTGGGCCACGGTCGTCACCCGGATGGATGGCGCTGTCTACTTCGAAGCCGTGTACGATGTGCGCATGGGCAGGACCAGCATATGCGTCGCTCAGACCATCCCCAAGCAGCTGCCCTTCGTGTCGTCGATCGAAGTTAGGCAGCTGGAGAACTCCATGTACGACGGCGAACCCACCTTCGCCTTCTTCCTCCTCAGAAGGTGGTCGTTCGGAGCTACTGACATCGTCAGGTAACTCTTCTTCCATCGTATCGTCTCCATCCTCTGAATCCCATCGATCTGAAACAAGAATGTTCTCTTCCTCGATCAAGGTACCCTGACGACAACTACGATCGAATCTGGGTTCCTGCCGCAGATTCTGCAGGAGTAACCTCACTATCCAGCGACACAACCATCATGGACACCTCAAATTCGACCGAGCATCCTCCAAAAGCTGTGTTGCTCAACGCTTTCACGACGACAGATCCATCCGCCGACTTGAGTTTGACGTTCGCTGATCTTGTTCCAGCAGCCACCATTCCGGTCTACATCAACCTCTACTTTGCTGAAATGACTTCGCTGAGTTCTTCTGATGTGAGATCGTTCCGGATTGACATGGATGGAAAGACATCAGATCCGATCGTTCCGCCTTACCAAAAGGTGTTGGAGTTTTCGTTCGCCGATCGTGGCGTCACAGCTAGCAGTCAAATGGCGTTGCGAGCTACAGCCGACGCCACCCTTCCCCCCATCATCAGTGCCATGGAGATCTTCACCGGTAGCAGTCTCAGCAACGGAACAGCCGAATCCGACGGTGAGTCTCCGTTTGCGCCAAACCTTAACGATAGCGTCTGATCTCTCTAATGCATGTCTGATGGTTGTGACAGCGAAGGCGTTGACAATTTTACAGCTACAGTTTAAGGCTCTCAGTGACTGGAATGGCGATCCTTGCCTCCCGGCAAACTACAGCTGGGATTGGGTTGGATGCAGTTCTGATCCAGTTCCACGAATCATTGCACTGTAACACTCTCTTTGTCCTGATGTGTTCTCTCTGTAATCTGCGATACTATCCATGTCACTGTGCCATGAAACTTCCTCTGGTGACGATGATCAGGTATCTTGCTGGGTATGGGCTTGCTGGAGATCTTCCAGACTTCAGTGACTTGAGCTCTCTGCAGACCATGTAAGCTAACTTAGTTGATGCTCACTCTCAGTAACTTGACAACTAATCTAAGCAGCCCCACTGCGACAATTCACAGAGATATGCACAACAACAGCATTACAGGAGAAATCCTTGACTTCCTGGGCAGGTTGCCCAACCTAATTCAGCTGTGAGCCTTGTTAATACTGAAGCAGAGCTTATCACTCTTTCAACTGGTTCCAACAAGCTGATCTCTTCTTGTTTCCACTTCTTTGAAGGAATCTGGCTGATAACAAGTTGAGCGGAGCGATCCCATCGTCTTTGACCTCAAACAACAGGATCGAGCTGTTGTAAGTGGTATATTGGCACCTTGTTAGAGCCAATAGTGAGAGGCTGCTGCTCTGTGAATTTGTCTATGGAATTCCATATATCTTTCGGATTCATGGTTAGCTGTTGGACATACAGGACTTCTGGAAATCCAGACTTGTGCTCTCCCGGCCAGACCTGTGACACATCCAAAGGTTCAAGCTCTGCTGGTGCCAAAAAAAAGAGTAGCAAATTAGGGCTCATACTTGGAGTTGCGGTTCCGGTGTTCTTCGTCGCCCTTGTAGCCACAGCAGTCACGTTCTTCCTTCGGAGCAGGAGAAGAGCTCCACCTGTTGCAGCAGAAAATCCAGGTCTGTGGACAAGACTGTTATGGTTAAGTAGGCCAACTTAAACCTTGAACATGGCCTCAGTCTGATGCTATTAGCTTCACACAGGGCATGTTAATTCATACGGTAAGCCGCGAGAAACAGCTGAAGGTCAGGGACAGGGTGCCATAAAAGGTAATGGCCATGGCATGTTTGGAGCTCGACATGGAAGAATGGTTCAAACACCTGGTGTTCAATTCATAGGAGCAGATAAACCGAGAGTGGCACCTAGAAATGCACCTGTTGTTGCCCAGTTCCCAGCTGCAGCTGGTGAGTATCCTGCGGGGAGCGAGGAAGTCGTGGAGGAGCAGCCAATGATAGTGGAAGCAGCATACGAGGAGCAGAGATGGGGTGAAGAAATGGTGGATGTGGAGATGCACGATGAAGAACACTAGCAACACCTAGTAAGCAATGGAAACAGATGTTCCAATTTCTTATATGTTTTGCATCAGTGAGATGGAGAAATCAAAGATGAGCAAAATTCTTTCTAATGTTCTTATCAAGTCTATGATATTAGATAAACAAACATCAGGATGAAACACAAGGTTTTGACCTTACACAACATATCTGTCATAAATGATCTAAAGATGCAAGTAAATTGACTATCTATCTCTATTATGAGAGCTGGGATCAAATAGACCAGATGATAGTATCAATAATGTAAGATCAATATACAAATCTCTACCCTGAATAAGATGATTATGGGGCTTAGCTCAAGGTTGTCAAAAGGCCAAAGTAAACCATGATTACATTGCATTACTTTTCTAGTATGACTGCATGCTAAATAACATTTTTGAGACTTCAATTCCATATAAAAAGACCAACATAAGTGATAGGGAATCTCCATCCTCATTTGAGGATAACTGTTTGTGATAGGTAGTAAAGGGCAAACTACATTTCCAGCAAACAACAGATCTATCATCCTTGAAACTAAAGATATATGACCCTAGAGAATCACATCAGAGAGCAAAGTAATTTCTTTGAAACTGAATTGAGAACTCATGGTCCTCACAAAACACATTCAACCTTAGCATGACAGCCATGAGAAATATATGGCACTTAAATCATTCAAAGTGAAAGTGGTACTTACACCATCAAGTTTCAACTTAAAAGAGCTGTCAATCCAGTTCTTCCAGTTATGGCCAAAGAGACTTCTCAGATATATTGAAACACATGAATTTATCATCTTCATGTGATGATGTCTGACAAACTCGAGTGAATACAACAGTAGTGCCCCATCCCTCATTGGTTTTTGATGTGATTTCAATTGTCCTGCGTAAGCTAGCACTGAAACTACTCATCTCCAGTTACATTTGATGACCAGTAGGTTCAAAACCAGATAGAACTTGTGATGGTCTAATATCTGCATATTTCAATTTGTCACTAAGTGAATACAGAAAGCCATATTCTTTGTTGCACAAATAGGTGGAGGAATTTAGAGAAACAGGACTGGAGAAACATAAAGAGATTAGATAGAAGAAACAGACAAAAAGATGTGACAGGTGAGATATATGAGGCCAGCAGCCTTGTAAACTTCTTTTTGTGAAAATAAAATTCTATGCAATGCTAATGAAGGTGCAGCTTCACAAACAACCTGGCCATTTGTTCACTCACTAACGGACACAAACAACAGGAATAAAAGAGAATAATAACTGTTTGAGTCGATCTTGAAAAAGTACCAGATAAAACTGTAGTAACCATTGACTCTTCCACAGAAGTGTTAATGCAAAACGTGGGTACCTTAGATTTCTGATCTTAGCATTCTACCTCAGCTACTAATTTAATTGGATATTACAACCTAAGCTTGAAACCAGCTCAGATACCGGTTTAAAGATCCAAACCCAAACCATATTAGACTCTAATTGACCCCAAAAACTGAATTATAACATCAGCATAGCACATCCAAATAAACTAAGCTGAAAATACTAGACTATGCAAATCTAAACTAGTCCGGACTGTCACGGACTTAGCTGGAATTGCCTAAGTCGTGAGGCACCTTTACATTATTTGTCCGTAAAAGATCAGCCTAGTTGTAACCTTGCTCAGGTTCCGAAGGACTTGTAAAAAGAACAAATTGATTAGTTTCGAAAACGAGCAACATATAAGTCTCAACATCTTGCAAAAAAGATAGCTTTACAAGCAATTCAGCAAACACTTTGTGTATAAGAAAGAAAAAAGAGGAAGAAGAAAACAAGGATTTTAGAAGATAAATGAATAGTCGCAAGTCCGTAAACGACTGCTTACTGGGTGTCGGACACGTTGGCAAGTTCCCATAGGCCTTACGTGTAAACTTGTGAATTCAATCAACACCCAACACTATCCCAAATCCCCATCCAACCCTGTGCCACCCAGGTGGATCTAGGATGCTGAAATGGCTGACATTTTGCACCGCATCGCAACTTACAAAAAACAGGCCATGACACAAGAAAACTAAGCCATTTTGGGACAATTTTGCCCATTCTAGTGAGTGATCGCTCTGCAACCTTACAAACTGTTCTTGTTCACTTGTCCTACAATCCGCTAAATTGACTTCAACTCGTTTTTTGTAGGAGGCACTGGTATGTAGTAGCCCAGTTAAAACACTTCGGGAAGCATATTACAAATTTAAGTGATAGGCTTTCAAGTTGCTCGCATGGAAGACATTGTGAATTTTGAGTCACGCCAACAGCTGCAACTTGTAGGAGACATTACGTATCCTGCTGATAATTAGGAAGAGCCCTTCATACTTGCACACCAATCCCTTGTGCACTTTATGCCTAAAAAACTAGAGTGATACTGGTTGGAGTTTCACCAGCACCAAGTCGTCGACTTAAAACTCTTATGGTCGCCTTCTCATATTTGCCCACCACTTCATCTTTTTGGTCGCTTTCTCCAAGTAAGCCCAGGCAATATCTGTGTTTTGGTGTCATTCCTTTACAAAGTAATATGCTGACAGTCTACTCTCGGTATAACCGATTGCCAAGGTGTAAGGAGTTGACGGCTACTGTCCAGTAATAATCTCGAAGAAGCACTTGTTGGATGTACAGTTCCGCTACAAGTTGTAGGAGAATTTGACTATGTCCAACTTCACCCAATCTCGCTGGTAGGCACTCATGTAGTGCTGAAGATATTGCTTTAGGAGCAAATTTATTCTTTCAGTTTGGCCATTTGTCTAAGTGTAGAGGCTTGTGGAGAAGTATAACTTAAATCCCAACAATTTGAACAACTCGGTCCAGAACCATCCCAAATATTGTGTGTCTTGATCGTTGATGATATTGTGTGGAACTCACCAATACTTCACAATATTTTTCGTCATCAACTTGGTCGCCTCCTCCGTTGAACAGTGTACGGATGCAACAATGAATGTTACATACTTTGAAAACCGATTGACCACCATGAGTATCGAGCCAAGTCTCCTTATTGTCGGCAACCTTGATATGAAGTCCAAGGAAATGCTCTCCCATAGGATTTCTAATATAGGCAATGACTCCAAAAGTCCCACCAGTTTCTGTTGCTCTACCTTATTTTGTTAGCAAGTAAGGCACGTCCGAACATATTCCTCTACATCGGTCCCCATCTTAGGCTAATAGAAAGCCCTCTCCACGAGAGTCATCGTGCGATGAATACCCGGATGTCCTACCTAAAGAGAATCGCGACACTCCTTTAAGAGTTCACGCATCAAATTGTCCGCTTAGGAAACATAAACTCTATTCCCTTTGGTGTAGACGAGTCCCATCGGGACCCAAAATTGTCGTGCTTGCCTTCCTTGATCAGTTGCATCAAGGTTACCACCTAGGGATCACTGTATAGTCCATCTATGATCCTGGAAAGAACGTTGGAGTGCATTTGACTTGCTTGGCCTTCGCCTTCCAATTGTACAACATTCACCAGCTCCACTTTTCTACTCAATGCATCAACCACGACATTTGTTCTTTCAGTCTTGTGCCCCATTGTCATAACAAATTCAGTTAGAAAATCTTGCCACCATGCCGAGAAGGTAGTGCCGCCATACTCGTAGACAGTGGACCACCGCTGTCATCTTTTTCTCGTGCATCGGATACTGCTACTCAGTCTTGCGACTCTTGTAGGGCACGGGGTGACCCTCCGGCATAAGTACTCCTTCAATAGCGAAGTCCTAAGCATCTATATGGACTTTAAAAGGTTTCTCATAGTCCGATAATTTAAGTGTCGGTTCTTCTAACATTGCAGACTTAAGGTCTTGGAAAGCCGCTTTACGTTTGTCCGACCATCGGAAGGCTGCTCCTTCAGCAACTCCACCAGTGGAGCTGTGTGCTTCAAGTACCCAGCTATGAAGAGCCAATAATAGTTGACGAAACTAAGGAAGGATCCAATACCTTCTTTGGTGTTTGTCACTCCACCATAGCTTGCACCTTCGATTTGTCCATCCGAATGGATCCTCTCTGCCGATTCAACACCCTAAGAATAAAATATTCGTCTAGGCAAAGTAGCATTTCTCCTTTTTCATGAACCAAGTGTTCTCCCTCAGAATCTTGAAAATTGTTCGAAGATGTTTGATATGCTCCTCAAGCGTTTGGTTGTACACAAAGATATCGCCAAGTAGATGACCACAAACTTGTCTAGATACTCCTTGAATAGTTGATTCATGAGAGTGAAGAATGTAGTCGATGTGTTGGTTAGGCCGAAAGATATTAAGATCTCAAACGCTCCATACCTAGTCACACAAGGAGTCTTTGCTTCATTGCCTTCAGCTATACACACCTGCCAATACCTCGACTGAAGGTCAAGTTTAGAGAAATGCTTCGCGTTGCCTAGTTGAGCGAACAAGTCTACGATGAATGGGATAAGAGACTTGTTTTTCACCGTCACCTTATTTAGGGCCCGATTGTCGACACATAATTGAAGACTCTCATCATGTTTCTTCTCGAAGAGACCTAGAGCTCTAAATGGTGCTTTAGAATCGCGGATGAGACCACCACTTAGTAGTTCATCTAGTTACTTCATAAGCTTTGCCAACTCTAGAGGGACCATGCTATCACGGACTTAGCTAAAATTGCATCAACGATCGAGGCACGGTTCTTAGGACGATTCTGGACCGAGCTGTTTAAATTGCTAGGATCTAAGTTATACTTCTCCACAAGCCTCCACCCCCAGACAGATGACCAAACTGAAAGAATAAATTCACTCCTTTAGTAATATATTCGGCACTATGTGAGTGCCAACCAACAAGATTATGTGAAGTTATTGGACATAACCCAATTCTCCTACAACTTGCAAGGGAGCTTTACATCCACCAAGAGCCCATTTGAGATCATTACGGGATAGTAGCCATCAAATTCTCACACCTTGGCAATTGGTTATATCGGGAGTAGCCCGTTAACATATCATTTTGCAAAAGAATGGAATTGAAATATAGATATTGCATGGGTTTACTTAGAGAAGACGACTAAAATGATAAAATGAGTAGATTTTAGAAGGCGATCATAGGAGTTTAAAGTTTGTGACTTGGTGTTGGTGAAGCTTCAACCAGTATCACTTCAGTTCTTTAGGCATAAAGTGTACAAGGGATTGGTGCGCAAGTACGAAGGACTCTTCCCAATTATCAATAGGGTAGACGATGCTTTATACAAGTTGCAACTGCCGATGTAACTCAAAATTCACAATGTCTTACATGCGAGTAACTTGAAAGTCTTCCACTTAAATCCGTAAGATGCTTCCCAAAGTGTTCCAACTTGACTACCCCCCATCAAAACCTCTCATGAAAAGCGAGTTGAAGCCATTTAGCATGTCGTAAGACAAAGCTATCCAACGGAGTAGAGCAGATCAAGTTCTTGGTGAAATGATGAAAGCTTCCACAAACAAAAGCCAATTGGGAGCCTGAAGACGCCCTACGACACGAATAAGCAGTCATCAAAGCCTACCAGCAAGCATCGACGAGGGCATTAACAATTTAGGTGAGGGAGAATATCATTGATGGTCATCGTGCACCCGCAACGCCTTTATCAACGGACCGTTCGTCGCTTTTGTTTGCTTGTATATATGTTTGGCAGTGTGTTTTGCTTTGTTTATGTGTGATATCGCTTGAAAAATATAAACAAGAATAATTTGCAAGGTTGAAGAGCGACCACTCACCAGAATGAGCAAAACTGCCCTAGAATTGCCCAGTTTTCGTGCCATGGCATGTTTTATATAGGTTGCGATGTAGAGCAAAACAGTAGCCATCTTAGCACCCCAGAACCCTCCGAGTGACACAGGGCTGGATGACAATTTGGGGTAGTGTTGGACGTTGATTGGTTTCACAAATTCGTACGTTAAGCCTACGGGAACTTGCCAACGCGCTCGACACCCGATGAGCAGTTGTTTGCCGACTGTTTGGTTGTCTTCTTAAGTCCTTGTTTTTTACTTCCTCTCTTTTCTCTCTTGCACACCAAGTGTTTGTTGAATTGCTTGTAAGGCTATCCTTTTCGCGAGACATTGAGGCTTGTCCATCTCTCGTTTTCGAACTAATCAATTTGCTCTTTTATAGGTCCTTCGGGACCTAAGCGAGGTTATAACTAGGTTGACCCTTTGCAGATGAATAACACAAGGGTGCCTCACGACTTAGGCAATTTCAGCTATGTGCGTGATGGTGTGCATGAACTCTATTCTGAGAATCACTTGGAAGTCATCCAGCGACACTGCCATTATGTTTGTGCTTTCGCTCCACGTTGCAATTTTGATAGGGACCCTCCTTGCTAGCCCGAAGATCTGCTTAGCCTCCAAGTTCACAGCCTTCATCCAACTTGGGCTCTTCTCTAGGTTCAGCCCAAGTCGCCTTGCTTCTTGGTTGGCAATAAAATTATGGGTAGCACCCACGTCCACCATTGCACTAGTTGTTCGACCATTTAGCATGATGTCTATGTGCATCAGCTCACTACTTCTTACTTTCTATTGCTTCGTCTTCACGTTCTCACCCACCTAACACTGCAACGTGTTCAACAAACACATTGATCCCATCCGGAGTCCTTGCGACTCCTCATCGTCCTTGTTGGATTCCAAACTATTTAAACTAAGGGCGACGACCTTACCCTTGTCTGATCTAGGGGGATGAATTGATGATGTCAACACATTTAGTGCTTGCTTTTGCGGGCACTCCCTCACTATGTGCAGTCCTCCGCACAAGAAGCATCCATCAGGTATTGGGGCCTTGTCTTTTAAACTCGACCCTTTGTGGGAACTTTTTTTTTTGCTCGATTGCAAACTCCTTCCCTCAGGAATACTTAGATGAGCGATTTTCCAAAAAATTATTTCTTCTTCCCCAAATCCTCCGAGGAAACCGATTGCCCCAACCAAATCAATGACATTCCTTTGATGCAGTTCCTATTGTACCTATAGCTTCAGGCCATCGAGGAAGCTAAACAACTTGTCCTTCTCGGACATGTCTTATATGTCCAACATTAGTGCTGAAAACTGCTTTACGTAGTCCCGAATGGAAGTGTTTTGGCGGAGTTATCTCAGCTTCCGTCTTACGAGAAATTCAGTGTTCTGAGGCAGGAGAGGAGTTCTCAATTCCTGCTTCAAGTTCTCCCATGTGTTCACTTGACACCAACTTTGTTGGATCTCTGCTCAACGTGATCGCTACCAAAGTTTTGCATCCCCATTCAGATACATGGTTGCTATCGAAACTTTAGTTTCTTTATAATCAAGCCTCGTAGCTAGAAAGTATTGTTCCACGTCGAACAAAAAATTCTCGAACTCCTTCACATCCCTAGCACCTCCGTAGCAATGTGGCTCGGGTGCACTTTAAGTTTTGTAATTGAGCAATGCAAGTGATGCTCCCTCCCGTATTAAGAGACCTGGTAAGTAACATAATACCGGATGTGAGTTCCGCCATGACTTCGCATGGGTACTACACAGAGTCTTTAATGTCTTTCGTCAATTGATCTACTTAGGACTTGACCTTGTCGATCCGAGATTTTGCCTCCCCAAGAAGCCTTCGTTGGCCTTAGTGGAGTTCCTCTAGACTCATCTCGAGAACATCAAAGCGGGTTTCTGCAACTGTAAGCCTCTTTTTATGGCTTTTCTTTCCGGTTGAAGCTCCGAAATGCACTTCCTCTGCTCGAGGGAGAATAACCAACTTCTCACTCGCCATTTTCGTTGTCACACTCCTCTTGAGCGACTCCAACAGCTTGAGAGTGAGTTTGCACTTGCAACCTGCCTACGACTGCTTGGGGCAATAGTCCGACTTGCTTCATCTTACTCGATTCACTATGGTGCTTCGCTATGACAAGATTATGAACTTTTGCTGTTTACATGAACTGCTTGCCCGCTTTGATACCACAATGTCACAGACTTAGTTGGAATTGCCTAAGTCGTGAGACACTCTTGTATTATCCGTCTATAAAGGTTCAGCTTAATTACAACCTCGCTCAAATCCCGAAGAACCCATAAAATAATACGTTGATTACTTCCGAAAACGAGCAATGGATAAGACCTGACATCCCGCAAAAAGGACAGCTTTACAACCAATTCAGCAAAAACTTGGAATGTAAGAGGGAAAAAACATGAAAGATAAAACAAAGACTTTAGAAGGCAAATGAACAATCGCAACTCCTCAAATGACTGCTCACCGGGTGTTGGGCGCGTTGGAAAGTTTCCGTAGGCTTTATGTGTGAACTTATGAATTTAAACAACGCCCAATATTATCTTAAACCCCATCCACCCTATGCTACATTAGTGGTTCTAGGGTACTAAGATGACTGACATTTCGTACCGCACCGCACTTTGCAAAAAACAAGCCATGGTGCGAAAATTAAGCCATTCTAGGGTAGTTTTGCCCATTCTGGTGAGCAATCACTCTGTAGCCCTGCAAATTGTTCTTGCTCACAGTTTTCAAGAAAAAATATATAAAAACAAGGCAAAATACATTGCCAAACATATGTACAAGCAAAAAAAACAATGAATGGTCCGTTGACAAAGGTGTTGCAAGTGCGCAATGACCATTTATAACAGGTCGGTTTAGTGATTCATTGTAGCTGCAACACCAACAACCATACAAATACAAATAAACTAAATCATCATATGTAAACTTTGCTAGTTTATAAATAAGATCAACCTGATCCATGATGGCTTGGTTTTGAATGATCAAATAGGGTGGTATGCTCAGTTTGGGGTTATTCATTCCATATTTAGTCAAAAATATTCCTACAAGTAACCAACATTAATTAAAGATTTAGGTTAAATAACTAAGACAAGTTGAAGGAAGTCTTAGAATCCATTTCAACCAATATGTCAATAAGTCCGTTTATGGTTTATTCTAAAATACAGGTCTAAATCATCTGTTGTATGATCCTAGAAATGAACTAAATTTATATACAGTGAGGAAAAAACTTATTGGCAAGAGAGAACGACATACACAACAAATATGGCCTTCCAAAAAAGTAGGAAAACCATTAGTTTCTGCTACCAAAGAGACTCAGTTTCACATTTCCACAGTTTGGAAACTCCAACTTTAGAGTAATTGTTGAACAAGTTTAGAATTGACAGGCTTTCATATTTTCCCACATACCATATGTATGTTTTATGATATAAATGTTCCCTCACTCAAGCATAACATCAAATCAACTAAAGCATCAATAAAAGCTACTAAACATGTGAACTTATAAGATTAGTCAGGATTCTTTTAATGACCACCATCTCTGAATAGGTACAGAATGTAGTAATATAATGTTTACTTCTTGACATCCGGAAAGAAGTGACTACAACTTCAAGAAGCAGCAGCAGCAAGGCATAAATTAAGATGCAGCATCGAGATTATACTAAAAGACACCCGAAAAGATGACCCTCATGCAGAAGAGTTAAGAACAGCACCAACCAAACTTCAATCTTGTAATGCACAGCATTTCTTGGATTCAAAGCTCGAATTCCTCTTCCCGCAGTGCAGCTTCAGCAGCCTGCTCTTCCTCATCATCAAGCGCAAAGTACTCGTTCCTCTCCTTTGGCCTGAACATATAAAACATGACGACATAAAAAGCAAAGCTCACAGTCTCCTCTGCCGCCACGCTCACCCACCGATACTTGTAGGATGCGATCGTCTTCAAAGCATACACCACGATCCTTGTGAAGTACAAGTATCCAATCACGGCCATGTAAAATTGCCGAAAAAGAGAGAGCTTGGCGAGAGTCCTTGCGGCCTTGCCATCAGTCTTGGAAGTCTCCTTCAGGGTTCTTATCGACCAGATGATCGGGAATATGATAGCACAGCAGCAGGCGATGTCGATCAAAAGGAAGACCTGGTTCCATGTCACCCAACCCTGGATGAATGGCCCGGTCTCGCCGATCACGGCGGAGGCAATGTTCGCAAGGACCTGAAGGGGGATCACGATCATGAGCACCTTCTTCTCGCGGTCCTGGAGGAAGGGCTTCAGGAAGGACCATCCGGTGCCAATGAGGACGATGACGGTGAAGAAGAGGACACCTTTTACGAACTTGAAGACGTAGAAAGCGACGTCCCAGCCGTGAGGCGTGCCGGTGGTGCGTGTGTAGTGCAGGTCCTCGGCGGCGAAGAGGAGGTCGAGGGCCTTCGCGAGCAGGAGGCCGGCCATGAGAAGGTGGATCCGGTGGGCGTCAAGCCGGTTCCGGAAGCAGATGTAGATCCAGGCAGCGAGGGCAGCGAAATAGGCGACGGCGAAGAAGGTGTAGAGGGAGGGGACAGCGGACTGGCCGACGGAGAGATAGTCGGGGGTGCCGTCAGAGCGGGAGTTGTACATCCCGGTGTGGACCGACATGGAGACGACTGCGCCGGGGGCGCAGTTGGCGAAGAAAAGGCCGTACTCGTCGGGGTGGGTGATGAGAAAGGTATCGTTGAAAGAGTGGGCACGGGAGAGTCTGGCGAAGGTGAACAGCGGGCGGACATAAGGGCTCTGGAGGGCGCAACTGGGGACGGGGGCGGGGTTCTGGTGGGGCTGCTCCGAGTCGTGGATGGACTGGAGGAGGCTAGCGTCGGAGAGGAGGAAGAAGCCGAAGAGGTCCGGGGAGGCGGCGGAGGACGAGAGAGAGACGGCGGAGAGGGCGATGAAGACGCCACCGGACGGGGCGAAGCCGAACTCCTCCAAGAGGATGAGGGGGCGGGAGTCGGAGGTGATCTTTAGGGCTTTGATCTCCGCCGAAGAGGGGGAGATCAGCGCAAGGAGGAGAGCGAAGACGGCAAGGGGTGCGGCGCTTCCGCCCATGACGCGAGGCGGCGGTTCCGACGACGCAGACTCTGATCTAATGGTTTCTCGGCCAAGGTCGAACAGAAGTCGCCGCCGCGGCCGATAGCGTGGGTTGGTCGACCGGGGAGACAGGAAGCTTATTGGTGGTTGTGCCGTCAGCCGTTTGTCGTCTTCCGCGGCCAACGCTAAGACCACGGCAGCCTAATCTGCAAGCCAGGTCAAATAGTCCGTCCACAGTCTCAACTTACCGTCCATCTTTCACATATCTATCCTTGTAATCTTTCATAATGACATCTTTACCATCGCAAATTTTAATTACTTCAAATATACAATTAAAAGTTATTTTTGATGCATAAATTTTTTTTATGAATGAATCCTTAATTATTAAGGACTATTCCATATATCTTTGAAAGTGTTAAATTGACTAATTAGTAAAAACTCTGTCAAATCTTTTTTTATTAGCTATCATTTTTTTCTTACCTTTTTTTTTCTCCTCTTTTTTTTAATAGAATGAGATTGTGATTAGTAAATAAAATTAGAGGGATTATAAATAGCAAAATAATATTTTATTAAAATTTATGAGATTGTGAATAGTAAACAGATTGTGAGTAGTAAGTAACAAGGGATTCTAAATAATAAACTCCTATATTTCTTTAGAATATTTTTAATGACAATCCATTTTTACTATTTATAATCTTATTTAAAAAAAATTTAACGTTATATTGAAGTTAGCATCGTTCTTGACATAACGGTGGTGTGGTTGAGGTCGCTATGTTTAGAGCGGCCGGAAACCACGGCGGTGCACCACCACTCCGTGGCCGCGCCACGTAACCTTTCGCCACGCGCTCCTCGCTGACCCCTTCTCTATCAAGTTGCTCCTCCTCCATCTCCGAGATAGATCAAACCCTGTTCCCTCTCCGACTCCTCCTCCTCCACTCTCGCGTTCTCCTTTCTTGATTTGACCCTTCATCGTTTCTTCTGCGATTCGATTGCATTACTCCTCCTCCTCCTCCATGTCGTGGTTGAGATCGGCCGTCGTTAAGGCCGTAGAGGTGGGCGGCCAGAACAACATCACCCGCACCGTCAAGAGCTATGCCGGCACCGTCGTTTACCACGCCGGGCAGGCCGTCACCGGCGGAGCCAGGATCATTCAAGATCGCATGGTAAACTCTCATTCTCCTCCTTACGCTCATCTTTCTTTCGATTCTTGCGCCAGACCAGGCTTGTCTGCGACAGGGCCACCCAAGACCCGTGGTAATCCCTCTCTCTCTCCCTTAATCCTCAAATTCATGTTTCTTTCCATTTTTGGGCCACAAAAAAAGGCCGTTGCCGGCGGAACCAAGATCATCCAAGACCGCCTTATTAAGTCTCTCTCTCTCTCTCTCTCTCTCTCCCCTCAGTTTTGTTTTCTGTCGATCCTAAGCTGGGCCAGGCCATCTCCAGCGGAACCAAGATCATCCAAGACCGCATTATATGGATCTTTTGTATCTTTCTTGGGCCCATCTACATTTGGACCGTAATAAATGCGTACAAATGGGAATTGCAACGACAAGGCCAGATAGCCGACGTCACAGTTACACGACACTGTCTTTCTGATATTTGGGATTTGCTTTAGGTATATTTTATTAGGAGAATCCTTGGATATTTTCTAGCTGTTTTGTCCTTCTAGCTACGTCTACTAAATTAGCTATGTTTCACTGGAAACAAATGACAAAAAAATTCATTCAATGTCAAACAAGAGTTCTTGACTAATATAAATCTTTAGGCAGGAGCACAAACTAGAATGATTGTTGCCTCCTAAGTTGTGGTAGTGTTTCCAAAACCCAAGAACATGCTTCCCTTAAAAGCACATAGTTCTTGCTGAGACAAGATAGTATCAAAAGTATTCATTGCCAATTCACCAAGCAGTAACAATGAAAAGCTTTTCTACTTTCATATCTTTTATATGGACATTGTTGATTATTGATGGATGCATTGTTTTATACGCATACAACTTCCTTAATTTTATAGGGCATTCGAAACTCTAAAAGTTTCAAGCAAACTGTGAAAGGATTGGAAGATGCTGCCGTATCCTGCAGGGGAATAGAAAGAGTTGAGCTATTGCATAGATGGCTATTTGCTCTGGAAGAAATTGAAAGGATGCATGGTAATTCAGTTGATCACAAATCTCATGAACGATCTCTATCATCTGAGGAGAGCTACTCATCTCCTAGAGATGTTTCGTTGGTCAGTATACTAGTTGGTTTAGCATATCTTATCTTATGGCTAAGCAAAATAGATTGTTTGTTCTGTTTTCTTAGAATTATTTTTCTCTTTGTAACTTTTATTTACTGCTGATCTTTATCTAAGCTAAGTCACTGTTTTGAGCATCTGAGAAAACATGTCATTCATCAAGCAAATGAGAAAAGAACAAACTTGTTTTATATCTTTTACTTTATAATCATCATATGCTTTTCCCTGTCATTATTTGAGACTACAATTTAAATGATCTATTTTGCAGAATCAATTTGAATATCAGTGTTTCTCATATAGTGATACATTTTTATACAACATGATATTTCACCATATGATGAAATAGGCGACAAAGTGGAAAAACTTATGCAGCCACAACATTAAGTGCATATTCTAGATGCTGAAATTTTCCAACTCATGCATTTTCTTAGAAACCTATTTCACCAAACATTTGAAGTATGTATATATGTATGTATGGATACATACATACATATATATTTATACACGTCACACACACACACATATATATATACACACATATATATACACATTGATGAACATCATGCTAGGCTGAAGTATTTTTGGAACATTAGTGCATATTGATGAGATAAGTTCCTAGAAACATGATTCTAGGCTCAAATGTGGTTTCGTTTAACTTTATAAGACTTTGAAGAGTTTTGTATTATGTGTGGCAATTTTAATAATTGGAGCTTTGTGTTGTTTCTTGTATTATTCAAGTTTTTTTTTGTTTAGCTTTTTGGATTAGGTGTTGCTGTTAGTATGTTCTTTGTCTAGGAGATTTTACTTTGCATGGTAGTGATTTTTAAATATCTATGAGTATATCTAATATCTTCTAGGATGGATGTAGTAATTATTTAAACTCAAAACTAACAGATTTAGGTCTGTTTTTCATAAGAAGATAGTAGTTATCTTAATTTTGCAGAAATAAGATAGGACAAAAGAAGAGGAATAAAACAAGAAGGAAGACAAGATCAGAGAAAAGTGCTTAACTCATTGGTCGAAGACAACCTATCTTCTTTGAACTAAACAATAATGCAGCTATTAATTGACAGACATGTAACATATTTATATTCTTCATGTGATTTTGTGTCTTACTAAACTAAACAAACTTTTAAACGAACTTTTAAAGACAGGCTCCCCAAACTTAAATCGAGCGGCTAAATAATTCTCTCAACTTAGTCTTTATCTTAAATATAATTTTTAAAAACGAAAAACAACTCAAAATAGGACTTTCTACCTTCTGTCAAAAGCACTGTTTTTCCTTTGATAATTATATTTTCCTTTGCAATATCACCAGAAATATTCTGCTAAATTATGCATGATATTGTTATTGAACCAATAATAAATTGCAAAATACTAAATTTCATAAACTGAGTTGTGTTTTTCTCCATTTTATATTGCCAAATAAATTTTTAAACTTGGCATGAGCTGAAAAATGACCGATGATTGAAAACTGTTTTTGTTGATCTTTATTGTTATATGCAGAATCTATATTTTGATTCTGATATGGGGGTTGAATCCATGTACTTCCGGGACGTATTTCTCTATAGCCAAGCTCTTGAAGGGATTACACTGTCCATGGTTAGTTTGACTATCTTACTTATAGTTTATAAGCTCTCCTCGTTGTAATTGTATAAATAACACAATGTGTATATCCATTACTAATGTAATTGTCTGTAGACTCTGTACCATATATTTTCCAATAGTTTCAGTGTCATATGCCATCATTTGGAACTCATTTTAGTTATCTAGATATATAGTAATCTTCAGTAGTCAGAATTTGGGTGCTTTGTATAACTTAGCATCTTTTGGATGTTCTATGTAACATGCATTTTGTATGAACTTTTGGTAGATGTTATATAATATTCTGCTTATAGCTTCTTTCTATTTTATGCAACTTGTGCCTTTATATACCTTTTCTCTGAAGAGGCCATTCTCAAGTATGTGTCACATATATACTGACTAAATATGCTTAGGATATGTTAATGCTTCATAACAAAATGGTTTGTCAAATGGAGGTATTAAGATGGTATTGTCTCATTTTTTTTTTCAGTTTCTTCAATCCATTTTCCTTGAAAGAAAACTCTTAAAAAGACAATTGGAATTGTTCATCTTATTAACTGATTGAAAGTCTAAGAAAATGGTATTGGTTTGAATATTAAAACGTGATTCCATTTTTGAGGATAAAAGAACCCTGGCTTAGAACTTCTTTCTCCTGTTGCTCAAGTGAAAGGAAATATTGCAGTCAACCGGTTATTGTGTTGTAGCTGATTATTGTGGGTCGCTGGTGGCAAGGTGATGACTCTTAGTAGGACCAGTCTTGGTTCAAGCACCTCATTTTCTTCTTTATTATCACTTTTATTTTCTCCTATTGGCACTTTTGAATCAGTATGATGCTGTGCTAAATCACACCAACGCCATACTTGAGGAGTGATGCTGATAAGGCATCCTTGAGTGTGACCATGGCATGTCTGAGATCAGGTAGATAAATGCTTATGAATAATTGACATCCAATATGCCTTGCAGGGTCCAAGAATGCAAAAGACTATTGTCACCCAATTTGGCACTAAGTTGATGGGAGCTTGTGTTGGGATTGGGGAAAAAAATAATAATTGAATAGGCATATGCAGCTGTAAAATTAGATGACCAAGTAAAAGAATATGATCATACACAAAAGATGTTATTCTAGGAGGCAGATAATTCATTTGATAAACTAAGCATGATGAGTCTGAATTGCATGAGTGAGCAATGGAGGGTGGACTTCTAATCAGATCATCTGTTGCTTACTCTCGAGTCTTGACAACATTTTTTGCCTGGTCTTTTTATGTGTACATACATTGGTGGGAAGTGCAAATACCAAGATGATGAATTCTGTTATCTCTGAACTTCTAAAGTCTGAAACAATCCTGATCCAAGGAATAACGATCTAAACTAATACCCAACTCAATTGAATTAATAATTTTTTACTCCATCTCCACTATCAATGTGTCTGTCAAAGCTTTCCAAATTGGAGCCAGTTTGCATGGTTAGAAGAAACTAGGGTAGTCAATCTAATTGCACTCAAAGAGTTCAATAACTATATTGCATCTCCTATTTTTAGTGTGTTTGGGGTCATAGATGCTTTGAGCTGCACAGAAATAGTCATGTACGTCCAATCACCAGCTTTTAGAGTTGGCTCACCCTGCTTTAAGCTTATTTTGAGTCAGGACTAATAACAAGCTGAGCTAGTATATGGCTTAAGCCGCTTAACTAAAATTCCCCTGAGGTTTGACAGAATAGTTTGATAAGATGGTTAATGAGTTGAACTGAACCTTTGTATCACAGTAGGACTCAAGCTTGAGCAGTCAACAGAAGCTGAGATCAAGTAAACCAGAGTTCTTGCTGCAGTCTCATGTAATCAATCCAAGTGTTATGTTACACACCTTTTGTTTTCCAGGAAATTGAAAGATATTACAACAAATAATAGAGAAAACTACTCCTTTTAGAAGTCATCATTTAATGCTTCTGGTCATAGTCCATTCTAATCATATGTCTCTTTATATTGATTTCTTAGGAATGAGAAGTGAAGGACTAACTTTAGGATGATAACAATAATAAGTGATACAAGGGATGGAATTCTACTTCTAAGAATAATTCTGCTTTTTTATGTATTGTTTGATATGGTTTAGGGTGACAACAAGAATAGCTCTACAATAATAAGGGGTTTGTTTGATATGTATCCTAAAGCCATATGTATTAGCATAATTGGATTCAGTCATCTGAATTTGTTTTCTTGTCGTTTAGACACAAAAATTTGACATTGAGTTTATGAACACTAACTTGCTGAGTTAAGAAATACCTTTTCATTGTTTAATCTGAAAGTTGGGAACCATGAATACTCTATTGTAATTTTGACAATTTTCTGACTGTATTTGATGTTGGGGATTGTTCTTGCTGATCATGGAGGTTAACCGCAGGTTAACTCTTTTCTATGACTCAGATTCTGGAAGCTCCGAATGATGAAGAAGTGTCTCTGCTCCTTGCAATATTTGGGTGGGTGTGATGCCCTTGTATTTTATAATTTTTTCCTATCACTGTCTTTATATCCAGGGGTCTATTTTATTGATGATATGTACTTAAAAGTTAAAATTTTACATTGCTATTATTGCCTATCTGTTATTCCTCTAGTTTTGTACACTTCCATGTAGGCAGCTCGAATAAGATTGTTAATAGTGTGATATTAGAAATCCGTAAGCCAATTCTTAGTGCAAAATAGTGTGGAGAAAGTAGTTTAAAATGTTTACTCTTGATTATGACATATCTTAGAATGGTGCTTATGCAATTCAAAATTCAAAGATCATAAGTATAATAAACTCTTCGTTAATTAGGTTGTATTAGCTAATATATTTTAGTTAAAAGTTTGCAGTAGGTCTGGGCTATTTTCTTTCCATTTCTATATAATCAATTTATTATCCTGTGTACCTCTGAAATAGATATTTCCAAGCCTATTTGCAACAGAATTAGCATTGTGAAAAATAAGGGAGATCTTATAATTGAAAGAAAAATTAAGGGAAGCATGACAATTTGTAATTATTTGTAGTTGGTCAGCAGGATTCTTTGTTTTTCTAGTTGAACGATATTTCAGATTCTGTTTCACCTAGTTTAGTAGGTCAATACTGTTCTGTGTTCTTATGTCCATTAAAATTTATTCTAATGTACTAACAAACTTCCTAAGTTGCATATTATATAGAACCACATTAATTTTCTCATTTACCTTTAGCTTTGTAGCTATGTATATAAGTTATTTTTCTTGGGTTGATTTTACGCAGATACTGTCTGACAGGAGGTAAGGAAGTTCATAATGCTATTATGAGCAGTATACAGGACATGGGCAAAGCTTTTTCAAACTATCAAGACGAAGTATTGGTATACTCAATTGCCTTTAAACCAAAAGATGTGATTCCTTATTTTTCCTTTTTTTGCAGGATATTGCAGTCTGACCTTATCAGAAATTCCATTGAAGTAAATTTGCATCAATAGTAAATAATATTTGAACTATATTAACAGAAATATATAATCTGTTACATGAATATGTTTTGATAAGAAGCAAAAAATTGGGTAGTCCAAGAGTTGTTTTTTAAATCATTGACAACCTTTAAGCACAGTATCTTTTGTTGTTGCATGTGGATGTATGTGTTCTGCCTAATTTTGGTCGATGTAAAAATTCTAATTTGCATGAAGTTGAACTCATAGTTGACCTTGTTAAAATGTGACCCTCATTTGGAGGTGTTTGTATGATTGCTGGAAGAGATGACATAATAGAAGTTCATTATGTTATTGCATTTACGTCAGAAGTTTAGAAATATTTTATGTTGTTGCCTTGTTGGAGATGTACATGTATGATAATAGTTCTAAATTCTAATGTATATATGAATTATGATACAGTACAAATATTCATAAATCCTTATCTGGTACACATGGCACATGTAACTTGTTGGTGCAACTTTTGCCACAGATGTCACATGTAAGGTTCAAAATTACAGTCCGCTACTAATGCCATATTGCAAATTTGGCATAATGGCAGATCTCCTTGTTAATTATTTTAGTTTAGCTACTGATAAAGAATTAAATATTGTCACAACAGATTTGTAACTTGGTGGATATCCTTAATAGATACTGTAGTGTGATTGCTAGTTTTGATTACCGCACAATACGGTAATTGTACCAAGAAACCTGCATCAAATATTTAAACTTGGGATCTATAATCATACTAGCCCCCTATTGGACCGTTATGAATCTGGTTTACCATGATGTACCAGCTGTTGCAAGCTGACTCTAACAGGGTAAAATGGAAATAAAAAAATTGAAGACATAAAAAAATGATTTTTACGTGTGCCTTCTTCCTTCCAAGGTCCTCTTCTCCTCTTATTTATTTTGACACCTTATGGGTTAATAGTGTTTCTGGCTCTTAAGGGAGAAGGCTTGCAAGTTTTGCTAGTCATGACTTTCATCAAGAATAATTGGTCCCGTGCATTTGTTGAGCATGAAAACTGAACCAAACTGTGTGGTATTATACTTCACCAACTCACGAATTTGAGTTGATATTTATGTTTAGCCTCTCCAAACTGTGAAACTTGAACCAAACTATGTGGTATACTTCACTGACTCACTAATTTGAGTTGATGTTTATGTTTAGCCTCTCTAAACTGTTGTATAGTGCGGTCTGGTTATGCCCCCTGTCTATGGTTAATCTGACTGGTGGTCTCATCAGACTGATACATATTGCTTGTGTGAGTTGGTGTACCATGAAGTTTGATCCCCACATTTGCATATTGCTTTTGCATGTTCAGATATTATACTGACATTGTCATTGACAGTTTTATGAGAATTTGGTGACCTTTCAATTTGTTTTTCCTTTTTTTTATTCTTATCATATTTTATTTAAATATTTCAGGTGAAGCGGGAGGAACTGCTTCAGTTTGCTCAAGGTGCAATTTCAGGACTAAAGTTAAATGCTGATATATCAAGGTCATCAACCAGACCTGCCTTTATTGTTTCTTTGGTTTCATTCCATGAAATTTGTCTTGCATTGAAATATCTGCTGTCATTTACTTCGAGGAGACAAAAAGAATAAACTAACAGGAAGTTGAATTCTCCCATCAGTTAAGTTGCATAAAATTGTTCAGGCTAAGGATACAAGGGAAAGAAATTTATGAGTCCATTGGAGCCAAAAAAGGGTGAGTGAGGACAGTTTGCTTTAAGTTGTATTTTTTGTCTCAGATGCACATATTTCTTTCTATTAAAAGTCAAAGATCAGGGAGTTCCCCTTCTCAAAACAAAGGATAGAGAATTTAGGCTGTTGGTTTTACTGGCATGTAAAACTAGTATTATACATGATTGAAAGGAATTCTAGTATCATACATGATTCAGTTCTCTTTGCCTGTAAGTGAACCTTTAGAAGAGTAATCATTGGCAAAGACTTTTTTGGATAGGGAAGGTGGGGGGGGGTAATGTGTGGTTAGGGTTTTGCCACACTGGGGATTTGAATTGCTTAGGGGTTGGGTTGTTGCAGCCTGGAGTAGAACCCTGACTTATGTTGAGGAGGGTTATATAATCAAGTTTGGTCACTTTAAACAGGTCTGGATTCAAGTTGGGTCAAGTTGCTCAAATCTTGACCTAGGCCCAACCCAACTATAATTTAGTTCATATCAGGCTTAGTTTATACAGCTTTGGGTTTGAGTTGGGTTGTGTTGCTTAAACCTTGATGTAGGCCCAACCCAACAATAATTTAGTTCATATTAGGCTTTTGCAACCCCGGTTTGACCAAGGTTTCTAATTTCCAAATCCAAACCCAGTTTTCATTAGGTTGGTCTCGAGCTTATAGGCAAAGTTATATTTCTATTCATGGGTCATGCTTGTGTTCTCTGATTCTCATTGCACATCATTCTCAATAGTAAGTCTGGTTCATATTGTTTCCAGGTTAGAATATGAAGTCAAAAAGCTTCAAAGGAAGGTTGATGGGATGGAAGTGTTGCAGGTCTCCTCAGGTCAAGATCATGTTGGTACATCAGAAAGGACAACTGCCTTGGTGGAGGTATGCCTGATGTTAAAAAAATTTCTTCTTTTTTCATGTACATTATGATAATGAGGAAAAAGAAGATGAATATGTTGGAAACAAAATGCATTTAGTACTTATTTTGCCATTACTTCTCTTTAATTTGTTATAGGAGTTTTTGTTCAGTGTATTGTTTTTAAGGAGCTGCAGTTTCTATGGTTAATTTTGTTGGAATCTGCTATGTTACAATTTTCTTATTAGTACTACTATTACTAAATGGTTCTAGGATTATTTTTCTTATTAGTGCTGCTATGTTAGGCCCTTTTTTTTGGTACATTTGTCCCTGCATTATTGGATGCCAGAAGATTGGTAATGTCTTGATAATTTTGTTTGTCAAGAGATTTAATTTCTTGGGTTTCTATCATCGGCTGTAGTCAAACGTAGTTGCATTTTCTAAGGGGACTCCCTTATATGCTATTTGTTGGGAGCCTAGGATATCTGATGCTGGACAAATTCATGACAAGTACATTGTTTTTTTGTTTGAGAATAGAGGAAGGGAAAGACAAAGGAATAAAAGGTGACAACTTTGGAAGATGATGATGAAAGGAGAAATTATAGAAAAAAATTTATGCTTAAGACTCACTCTGGATGAAGGATCAACTTCCAACAGTGATGATCTCACACCTCCGTACCTACCTCTTGCACATGGATTATGAAATCACACTACTGGAGATTAAAATGTGACCTCACATCAAGCACACATACATAAAATGGTTTCATTATTACTTATTCATGCTCTAGTTACAAATTTATTCTTTCTTTTTGTAAAACCCCAAGTACAAGAAAAGAAAATTTCAAAAATAGGGAAAGAATACAATTACATCAAGATAAATCAATCATTTACTTTTTTATTCTCTCAAAATATAAATTTTCATATTTGTTTTGGCAACTGAACTTCCTTGTGAGAACATATCTGATCATAAAACCTCATCGTAGAGATGGAATATTAATTTTTAATCAAGATTTGTTCTTTCCGTCCAAGGGTGGGCTTGGGACAACAGTAAGGTTTATCTTTGCAACTTAAAAAACCAAATCTCTATTCAGAGGTAAAGCTGTGTACATTGACCCTCCACAGATCCCACATTTGTAAGAGCCTCATGCACTAGGTATGCGTCTTATTTGCCCTTTCCATCTCAAGAGATAGTGTCAGAGAGGATATTCAATCAAATGATAATTTGATTTCTTACCTTCCTTTTGTTTATCATAGAGTGTAAGTTGTGAAGTGCAATTCCATTAGTGTAGATAAAGCTTTAATATGAAAAAATCTCTCCCATGTTTGATGTTATATATGTTAATATCTTGTGAAAATGTATTTGTTCTGAACTCTTGAACTTCATCCAGATGCCTTGAATTCAGAAATATGTGATTGTGGCATTATTTTTCCTGGGCATTGGGAATACATGATTTCCTGTAGATGCCTAGAATCAACTATTTTAGCGTAAATCTAAGTTGATTTGACATCAGGAATCTTCGTTGAGAAACCCATAATTGTACATCATAAATTGCATCTAGGAAGTATATTCTTGGCATTTTGAAAAAAAGTGATGCCTCAGATTATGCCTTTTGAATTTGCTTTTAATGTAGATAATGAAGCTTGTGCTCATGAGTGCTTAAAGATTTAATGCAAAAGAATTTGCAAGCAATGCAAAAATTCAGGTTTTATCTCATTGCATAAATTTGCAAAGGATTTCAGCTCCTAATAAGATAAAGGTACTGTTCCTATACATCGGGTGCTCGGTTAAGATCGATAATTATACATTTGACTGGTGGGCAACTCACCGTTGATGATGAAAGTGATAACGGGCAAACAAAGGGCACAATGATAGTTCGAACCTTCGACCTATGGAAACAGGACCCGGATACATCCCACCAGGCTAACTAGATGAGTGCATATTAATCTTAAGTGCATATACTTATCTCTAGATTAGCGCATAAGTTCTTTCAGCATGTATTTTAATTTTTAAGTGCATTGATTTTATTCATCTTCTCCTTTTCCATATCACACATTTATGCCATATATTTGACATGATTTTTTTCCATTTTATTGCTGGTTTGTTTACAAGTGATCATGGTATTTAGGTTTCTGTGTATATTCTGTAGGTTCTAAAAGAGGCACTAGCAGAAGTTTATCTTTGCTCTAGATTGGAAGCACTGCTTTTAAGGAAGAAAAGCATAAAAAATGGGGAGTCACCAGATATTCATTCTCAAAAGGCATGTCTTATCTTTTTAATTTGGTCCATGTTTGAATATTACAGTCCGATGTATATAAAGCTAGATGCTTCATTCTCATGCTAATTTCTATGAGCAATGTGGTTATGTATTTAGCATACAGTAAGCAACTTGTCAGAATGCATTGCATTATACAGTGACCAATGCATTTGCTTTATTTGGTGAACTCTACCTAAAAAGAATTCTTAGCATGACCATTTGATGCATTCATCACCGAAACTATTTTGGTTATTCATGTGTCACATTTATTGATAAAATATTTTATGCCTACTAAGAATGCTTCTTCATTCTCTCAGATTCAGAGAAAATTAATTTGAACTCCAACGTGTATATAAATAACCTTCCTGCCATTTTTGTTACATCAAATCCAAATGGCAAAGATTCAAATGAAGACTTTCATTTCAGTTTTTAGTCATTCAAGAATTGGATCTTTGATACTTAGTAGTTCATACTTGGTAGTTTGTAATGTATAAAATTATAAATTAGATTCTTCTGAGTTCTGACTGTTAGCATAGCTGTCAATCACTCCAAGACATGACATAGGTTGTTCTTTTCATTGAATACTTTTGAAGGTAGGATTTTAAATTCTAATATACTGAGAGGAAAAGTAATTGTAAATATTATGAAAATTGTTCTAGGATTGTCAAAAAAGGTTCTGTCCCATTGGAAGACGATATAAGGCAATGAGAGCACCTGGATGTTTGTTGTTAACAAGAATGGTGAAAACCAAACTGTGAGTAAGTTGGTCATGATGAAGTCCTTTTATTTTCTTGCAGAAATAGCAACGGTTTATATTCTTACTCTTAGGAGATTCACTAAATCTTTTTTGGTTATTGACCTTGTATTAGTGGGAAGTGGCTTCCTGAAATTTCTACAAAAAAAGAATTGAGGAGCCAGGATTGTGCAGGAATTGTTTCTTTTTCTTTTTGAAGTATCTTCTACTAAATACTGAATGCTACTTTGTTTGCATGTCTTACCTTGCTAATTTTCCGAATTGTTTATTTTCTCATCCAAAATGTCCACTTGCATTCATCTTTAGTAAAATGGAGTCATTGATGAAAATATTATTAATAGAGGAATTGGGGGTTTCGTGTTTTTAGGTATTACGACAATTATAAGACCTGCAATACATTACTGTTTGAAGTATTTGAATGGTCAAGAAAAAAGTATGTATAGAAAGTTTGTGTTAGGAGATGAGAATGTTGAGGTGGATGGGGAAAATTATAGAAAAAGAACTCTACACATCAATGAATAATAAGGTTTAGACTAGAAAGAGAATTAAATGAAGAAGAATCATAGATGATGTGGACAATTCTAACGGATTTTTATAGATTCTACGGTTATATAAGATGAGTTAATTAGCATTAGTGTTACGAGAGGTAGAGTGAAATCTAGGAAAGATTTTGTAGAAACAACTAAGAGATATTTGAATTTTCTGATTTAACTATAAGTATTGTTTTGTACATAGCTCAACGATGGAAAAAAGATCCATGTGATCGGTCCCAAATGATTGGACCATCATGGATTTTCATCGTTGTTATTGTTGTAGTACCCTTGTTGTCATAGTCTCTGCATCTATTAGCATTAAATCAATCTGAAGTAAATGTTAGTTACTGTGAAGCTAAGCTGCACAATGTCAAATTTGTTCTTAAATATTCCTCATGTATACCCTCAGAAGTTTGCCTGCTGTCAGAAGTTCTAGTGCCAAAATTGTGACATTCGAGATATTACAGATATGTTGCATAATGATGTTGTTTGAACTTTGACATGATGATGATCACTTTTTGGTGTTGTGAGCAACGATTTACAAGGGTATGTGCAAATATACATTATTAAGTGGTAAACAAGTTACTTTTTGCAAACGTTGGGTTATTTGAGAAACCCCCATATATGCCTCTCCAATTTATGATTGCTAATTACTAGAATGATCAATGATGTTATATTGGATGTGTTTCTGGTGCTGCACTTTGTTTTGCAGTTCTGTTAAACATGTGGAAGTTTGCTTACTGATTTTCAACTTTATGTGCTGATTTACTGCTGAAGCATAATACTTACCATAATATGTTTAGCACCTAATTCTTATAGGTGACAGCTTGCAAGATTTCTTTTCAGATATTAATTCAGTAGTGAGATGACTTATTAAGTTTTGCCACAAAGGTTGAAGCTTGTTCTAATAATGTTATTTGAAGCTGGCAGGTTGATAAGTTGAAAGTTCTAGCAGAATCTCTTGCCAACTCGTCCATAAAAGCAGAAAAGCGTATCCTAGACCACAGGTCCTATATGACACTTGTACATCTCTTTCTTTTATTGTTTGGGGCATTTGAAATTTTGAATTATGGTTTGCTTGGCTGATCTCTTGTACATGCTTTGGAATCGATGGAAGTTCTGTTAGTAGCCAGATCAATAGATTCATAGTTCTTTTTGGTGGCAAAATACATCTGTTTCTACTGCCATCAACTAGATAGCAGTTTAACTGCAATCAATGTTGATAATTGCCCATCAAATAAAGATGATTAGTCTAATGTCAATTTAAGCCAATTTGCTTTTCTTCTCCGCTATGGTGACTCAGACCCATTTAATCATGTTCTTTGCTCACAGTTTAATATGTCGAAACATGATACATTGAGTCTACCTCCAGCTTACACAACTTCCTCTTGGAATAATGTATTAATCTTATATGGGTTTTCATGTAGTGAATTACATGTGTCAATCTTAGCATCCAAAGTAGTATGGAAATTTGCCCTTTGTTTGTCTCCTCATTTCCTGCTACACGTCCCACTCAGCCCACAAATGCTGAGGTTCTAAAGATGATCTCTTTTGTTTATTAGTGCCTTAGCCTTCTGAAAGTCTGCTTCTTATGTGTGTTTCAACTTTCATATACCAAGAACTTTTCTGAATGCAAAACCGTTTATGGTTGTAGAAGGTTGATCTTATATAAGCTTAAATTTGTTGTATCGAAGGTAATATCCTCTCATGCCGACCAGCCTTCTTGTGGTTATTCCTACCACCTAAATTGCATGTGATCACCCTGACTGCCGATTTAGTATTTACTTTAATTGAGATCGATCTTTTAAGAGGTCTAAACCTCGAACTTGATTGCTTGTCTTTTATGTCTAAAAACTGACACTATATAGATGGTACAAGATTTGGCATTTGAGGATGAAAATTGATATTTTTTATTTTAGTGCAAATATATGCTGGTTGGACCTTGAAAGAAAGTTATTCGTTTGGAAATCTTAATCATGGATTATCTAGAGGTGCTTTAAGGTTCTGAATTTTTAAATATTTCATAGTTTTCATACTTTCACCAGATATTCATCATTTCATTAGTTATAGGTGAAGCATAATTAGAAGCGTTCTATTTACTAATATAAAGTATAGTGCAATTTATACTCTTTTCATCCTTGCCACTGAAAGTTCTCAACTTTGCCTTGAGCTTCTAGAAAAACATATTGTATAGCATTCCACTTATCTGTTGCTCCATTTTCAAAGCAGACATCAGAAAGAAGAGGCTCTCAACTTTCGCATAGCTAAAGCCAATGAAGTTAATGAATTTCAGAAGGTAAACATTTAAAAACCCATGTATGCCAGCCATCATAATTATTCACATGAAAAAAATTGTAGCATCATGGACCAATATCCGTTTTTATTTCAGAATTATAGTTCTTGCCAGAAATTTATATGCTCTTTCTTTACTGAACTTTGAGCAATTTAATTCTCGGTTGTAATATTTCAGATTCTCCACTTTTTGATTAAAAATATATTAATTCTTATAACACAAAAGTAGAATAGGTCTTGTCTCAAAGGCAACTGCACAATCATTATAAAAAAAGGAGTTTAATACGATATATTCATACTCATCTTTTCGTGTGATCCTTTCTCATGTTTTCAATTGATAGTCCTCTTTATTTCTTGTCTATTATAGTAGTGAAATTCAAGGTTTTAATAGAAGGACAAGTGACTAGAATGTGGATCTGGTGAACTGACTGATTTTCCCAATCTGATTCAGAACGGGGTGTATCCATTGGTACACTCGTAATTTTGTATTACTGTGCAAATATGATTGGTACATACATATTTCTATTTATTTCTATTTTTAATTTTTTTGGCTGTAAATAGTTGTTGAGAGCTTTCAGAAAGCTGCAAACGGCTGTTGACAGCCAACAGCTCTTTACAGATAACCCTCCACTCTCCCTGTTGTAGCCTTCATCGCAACTGCAGTCTGCCTCCATTATTGGCACCTTGCCATCCACCACTTCTGTCTTCTCCTTGTGCAACTGCTGCAACCTCCTCTGACTCGATCTATACTGATTGACATTGGTACGAGCTGGTATTTATCAGTTCATGGCCTAATTCAGACACGGACCAGGTGATTTTACCGGAACCAGTTTGACACCAAGTATATAACCCGGTAAAGTAACCAATACCAAGCTGTAGCAGACAGTTTGCCTACTGCCTGGTACTGGTACTGGGACTGGGAGACCGTCCTTTCTCCATCAGCAACTCCTTTCTTTGCAGCAACCTGATTCGGCTTATCACTTGGATACCTTGGATCATACAATCCTGTGGAAAGGATGATCTTTTGGAATGAACAACTCACGATATGAGTTGCATGACCGATGAAAGGATTGTCCAATCCTTTAAGATTTTAATTTATTTAGATGACCTGGATTGAGAAGTTCAATTTTGATCAAAATCATGCAAACTAGATTCTAACATAGTCGATCCTGACAATATTAGATGTGCTGATTAGATTATGTGAGATAATTAGGATTAGTGATGCAAATAGAGGTAGAGGAAAACTCAGAGAACTTTATTGGTCTTACTTTGAAATTTGAATATTAATAGTGTCCTTACTCAATAACCCTCCAAAAACGTTGTAATGGCAGGAGCACTAGTCTGACCTTTTACATAATTGGGCTATCGTGTTGACACATCATTCAATTTCATGTTATCTTTATTTTATATTGGTGTGGACTCACATGATAGTTGTTGTCTTGTGCTTGTCATTTTTAACTGATTCTCCAGAATAGTTGACATAACTGATCTTATTCATCAATAACTTAACTGTAAAAGAACTTGTATCCATTTAAGCTTTTATAACACGTTACTCTATGTTGTGACCTGCCTGGATATCATTTGTGGTTTGCTTTTGTCAATCTAAAATCAGGAATTGCTTTCTGAGATTGCTGGACTAGAGAAGCAAAGAGATGGACTTGAGGCTGAACTAAAGAAGGTAATTTTCATGTCAGATCTCACCTTTAGTTCATGAGCTTATACTTATTTTGACTCTATCTTAGAACTTTTCTAAGTCTATTTATTTAAAAAGATTGCTTTATCTTAAGTCATTGACATCACTCTGTTGCTCAATATTCAAGAGATCACCTTTAATATTCTGCCAAATTTTTTAACTTGCTTGTCATCTGGTAGTATGTATTCTTTTTCAATATACATTATATGCTTATCATTGCCATCGTGTTATGTGAATTTTCTAAATAAAGGCTCAGAAGATCATAAGTGGGCTCATGTAGGCTTCCTTGAATTGTAACTTTCTTGTGTTGATGACTTGATGGCAGTTATTTGAAACCATCACAAGCTAGTGTGAACTGTTTCTGTCTCCCTGAACTTTCTGCACTCTGAAAACTCCATCTTGAATGAAATTGCATTTCAATGTCCAATTTGGATCTCACCATCATCTTTAGTTCAAATCCTACATGAACTTCCATGGACTGCTGAAAATACTTAAATTAAAGAAAAATGCTATCAGTTTATTGAGTATAGGATAATCCTTATGATGGTAGTAATGGCTCTGTTAATTTAACAGGGCTGTATGTAAATTATTTATCACATTGGGTGGAAGGTGAGATTCCCTAGGAAAGATCATAAAAGCAAGCCTTTATTTTCATCGATTTATAAGGGAAATTTTTTATGTATTTTAGTTTTTATGAATATACCCTTTTGTAATGTATATCCATTTGTTGAAAGACAGCTGCAACTTTTATCATCCTCAAATTATGTTGTACCTGTAAATTTAATTGATTCCACTACTGTCATATTTAATTTTAACTATTTTGAGATACCTCCTTCAAGAGTAATGTTGAAATGCTAATTTCTACTATAACATTTTTCACAAGAAATAATAAATATTTAATTTAAAGAATGATGAAGCAATTTGAATAAAAAGTTGGCAGCTCTGTTGTTGCCTAATCATACTGTTAGTGTATTCAACCTGAGATTGTCTAGTCTAATTGATGAATGATGCATGATGCTACGATGTGTATAGCTTCCAGAACAACTTCCAGTTTATGCCATTTGAAACATCAACAAATTCACAATAATTTGTTGAGATTTGGAATATAAATCAGTCCTACTTATGATACTCCACCAAAATTATCATTCTTCAGATGATTCTGTTGATCTTTTTAGCAAGGTTCTTGACTGGAGCTGGACTCTGTTGTAGGTTAATGTTTCTCTGGTATCTGCTTTTGCACGACTCAAGAGAACTAGGGAAGAGAGAGACCAGTTTGATGAAGCAAGCAATCAGATTGTCATGCACCTGAAAGCAAAGGTTCTCAAAATCCAATCCTTTGTCTGAAGATATTTCCTTGTGAACACAGGTGTGATAATCCTAATACAATTTTAAGTACCAAGTCTTTGAATTTTCTTTAAATTACAGGAAGATGAGCTTGCAAAATCAGTTGCTTCATGTAAAGTAGAAGCTGATATTGTCCATATCTGGATTAATTTCTTAGAAGATACCTGGCAGCTTCAATCTTCATACACAGAGCTAAAGAACAAGCAGATTAGGTACATGCTCTAGGATAAGGATTATGATGTTGTCCCATTATCTATCGAGTTCAACAAGCTCTTTTACTAGTATCCATTTACGATTTGTCCCTTTTCTTTTATATTCTTCTTGCATAGTGATGACTTGGAGAAATATGGGAATTGCTTTTTAAAGTTGATCAAGTATCACCTTTCTTCATGCAAGGTATTGCTTTTTCCATAAGTGTAGTTGGGAAATATATGAGTTGTATAAAGGTTTTGTTGAACTGATGGACTCTTAATTTTCTTTCACTAATGTAATTCTTGTCATGTTTGACTTTTGGCTGGTTTCCGTTCTTTGTACAGGATGAACTGAAATCTTCTATTGCTCACATCAGCACATATGTGGAGAACTTGAAACAATTTAATGATAGGTCATATATTCATGTATTATAGCCATTTGATGTACATGGTGGTTATTATTTTTCCATTGGTTGAATGCCTTTTGCCATCATGTTTGGCAGGTCAGACTTGACTCAGAATTCCAATAATGATTCATCTAAAGATTCAGACTCCAAAAAATATTTTGAAGAGGAATACTTGGCAACCGAAACAAAGGTATGCCAATGCATAGGCTCATTGATAGTTATGATTATAGAGTTTGACATTTATGCAATGTAAACAGATAAAAATGATACCTTTATATGTTGAACCTTGTGCAAGCAACATGAGGGCTGTCTTTTTAGACTATCTAGTACCATTGACCGAAAGGTATTATATGGTACAAAAGCTAGCACATGCTTGAGCTTGTTTCCAAGTCTGCTGCAATCGAGTTTTGACTGATCTGTATGTTTGTGTCGCTCCGTGATTTTGATTGCTTTTGACTTTATACTTATTTTAATGGGACATGGAAACATCCAAGATTATTAGTTGTTGACCCTGTTAGGAAGTCAATTGACAACCAAATATCGTCACTATGTAATACTTTGTGCACATACAGCAAAAGCTACCTTATGCATCACAATTTTCTTAATTCATGGTTGTGACATAGAACACAAGCTAGTCTGTTCTTCAAGCTTAACAATGTTTTAGGATGAATCATTAGGAAAACTTGGTCATCCATGACCCATGCCAATCCTTAAAGAAGTTTTGGAACAGACATTTCTTACCTCTTAGATTATGGAGGGATCTGAAGTTCTTGAGAAGTGGATATTTATTATAGTGTTGGATATTTATATTATGACTCGAACTGTATTATTATTATTATTATTATTATTATTTTCAGATTGTGACTGCCTTCCACGTGGCTGATCACATGAGGGGGCTATTTTATACTGAAGGGGAAACAGGTTCCAGGTATCGCTTTCAACTCTGCTCCGACTCACAAGTATATGATGACCGTAGCATAAGTTTCCCTTTTGTTTTTTCCTTCTCCTTTGACATATACTCTTCTCTGTCCTAATTGAAGTTTTGACTGTTGGCCAACTTCTATGCAGGAGAGACGATCCGGAAGTGACGGAACTATTTGAATCGATTGAGAAGCTGAGAGTGGACTTTGAATCCATCGAAAGACCTATTCTGGAGATTGAAATTCTTAAGGAAACGCAATCTGACGAGAGACTGCAAAAAGGTCCTCTGCCTGCTGCTCAAATCACTAGTTCACCAAGACTTGGAGGTGTCGAGTGGACAACTGACGATCTATCAGATACGGAGTCAGAAATCGCCAAACTGGAAATGGAATATGGAAAAGCAGGCATGCATTGCTCAACCGATGAGATTGGAAGCTGGGAATTTGATGATCTCGATCATTAACCGAGTCTGGGTCGAAGTAATATAGATGTCTTGCATGCTGTTTAAATTGTCATATGGTGAATGATGATGCTCATCATGATCTGCGACCTGTGATCGACAGACATCCGCAGATCTGCTTTGACACCACAAGTCTAAAAGAATAAGGTACTTAATTGTATATTCTTTTGTATATCCATTGTTATCATGGGGGCTCCATCTCCATTTTTGCAATATGAAATCTGTATTTTTGAACCGGCATGCATCAATGCTTCAACTTCGTAATTATTCCATCACGTCGAAATCATGATAAATAGACGTCGTCAAACCTGTCTCATGTCTCATGTTAAACAAACACATTTGGGACAAACCTAATTGTGACAAAATCGAGATAGGAAGCATCGCAGTTCACTATTTCTGGTTCATCCCACTGTAGTATCCAAGAAGTGGGAGGAGAGGATTGAGCGGCAACACGCGAAAGAAAGCAAATTATATAGCTCCATTTTGGTTTACAACCAGTCGAAGCCATGCATGTCCACTGAATCAGATTTTTAAGCATCACCTCCTAAATCATAATCGAAAATATTCTTCTACTAAATCATAGAGTCCTTTCGTCATTATTCATATATTCTCTTTCTAATTATCATTTTGCTATTATTCATCGTCTTGGCGTAACTTTTAACTCGAACATCAATCGAGATTCGACATTCGACATGTCACGTCAATATGATATTAAAAAAATATTCTCCCGTTCGACTGATTATTATAAAAAATAAATACTATATAAATTGGTCAGCCTTCTCTCTCTCTAAATGAATATTGAGCTCCTTATAAATATTTAAAAAAAATCAGAGATCAGCAATTAAAATTTATATGATACTTTCCTTGTTTACGTTGGATTCCTCCATTATATGTATCGATGGTATCGTCCTCCCTCCACACAACTCGTACCTGTGCCTTGCCATGACACCTCAACATCAGAAGAAAGATTGAAAAGCTTCTCATGCGATCAATCAAGAAGCAAGTATATCTTCTTCAACACACACACACACACACACGCACACACACTCTCTCTCTCTCTCTCTCTCTTGCTACTGTGGATTGGCGGTCAGCCTCATCAACTGGCAGAGGGCATTTCCGCCGTGGATGGTGGTTTCTGGTGGTGTGACCGAGCGAGAGATGCCCTGTTCCTCTCTCAGATCGCGTACATCTTATACTCACTGTTGAATAGCTCGCTGTCGGACACCCCCGACGCCGACCACGACCGCGACCGGCTGAGCGACGAGCGTCTGATGTTCCTCAGCTTCTTGGCCTCGATCCGGTGGGCGATCACCCAGTAGAGCATGGTGGCCAGCGTGGTCGCCAGTATCACCGTCCCCATGATGGTGACCCCGATCGCCAGCCACCGCTGGCTGCGGCCCACCACGATGAAGCACAGGGCGAGGAAGGCGATGCTGATGAGCACGCAGGCGATCCACATCAGCTTGTTGATGATGGCCATCATCTGCTTCTTCGCCTTGCTCTCGATCACCACCACCGACGTCTGCACCACCACCACGGCCAGGGATATGAAGAGCGCCACCGAGTCGAAGACGAAGAAGATCATGAAGGGCGTCTGGTGCGCCACGTTGGCCTCACCCAGCGTCAGCCCCGGCGCCAGGTTATCGGATTCCACGTACTCCCCGGGGACCGTGAAGATGGCGGCGAAGGCGACGGTCGCGATGAGGACGGCGACGACGGTGTTGGAGTTGATGGCGTTGTTGAGACCGTCCTCGTGGAGCTTGTTGAGCCGCTTGGCGATCCCCTGCACCCGCCGCCGGGTCTGCCGGGTGTGCTCCAGCTGGGAGTGGACCTCGTGCTTGATGTCGCTCACCGTCTGCTTCAGCTCGCGGGCGGGGTTGGGCGAGGGTCGTATCGCCCTCGCGCTTTGAACGCCGTGCTCCAACAGCATGCCGGTGACGTCCGAATTCCCCATCTTCTCGGCGGTGTCGAGTGCCGTCTCCCCCGACTTGTTGATGGCTTTGGTCTCCAACTCCTTGAACTCAAGTAATCTCCTAACGATCTGCAATAACCCATTACTCCAACAAGTCACAGTCCATTCTTCAGCTTCCAATCTCAAAACATACTGTCATTTGAATAGAGTAAACAGCCAGCATTAACAAGATATGATGATTACCGAAAAAGATAGTTGATTGTAAGGATTCATTATATATATATATATATATATATATATATATATATATATATATATATTCTTTTACGAAGGATAAATGATGAAGACGGTATTCAAACTCAGATCCTGCAACACACTATCAAAGCTTTACCAACTAAGCTAGCTGACACCTTTGAGAAGTACGAGTGCGTGCCGGATGTTGTTCTTCCACAAATCACACATCACAAGCAATCTAAGGCCATTTATATCAGATCTACCTATTATCTGGAGATTCAAATTGCTTCAAAGTATCAGTCTGTGATTTGACATAAATCTTCGACAAGCAGACAACGAATCTCATGTCATGGTTTCACGATCGAACTCCTTGCTATCACAGGAGACATAAAAGTCATGAGTGCAATACCTGAGCCCGGCTTTTCCTTGCTGCTATATGCAGTGCTGTGTTGCCCTTCGTGTCAACCAAGTTGAGCAGAGAGGGTTCATTTTCAAGAAGCTCCTGAACTAAATCCAGGCTCGTTCCCTTGGCTGCCATATGCAGTGCAGTCTGTCCCTTCTTATCGGTTCTGGCAGCAATTCCAGATTCTTTTCTGAGGAGAGACTTGACTACTTCCAAGTGCCCATTCCTTGCAGCAGAATGCAGGGCAGTCTTACCATTGCTCTTTGCAATCAGCGCCAGGCTCTTATCAGCTTCCAGTAGCAGATTCACCACCTCAATGTGGCCTTGTGCTGCAGCTGTATGAAGTGCAGTGGTGTTTGACAGGTCCACTGTCAGAGAGAGCTCCGGAAGTGCATTCAGCAGCTCCTTCACAACATCTGATCAATTAAGTGGTTGAGTCAGATAGTTTCCAATTGAAAAAGAAGAACTACTGCAAGCTCCTAATTCCAGTTAGTCAATCATAAAAGAGGATCTAATAGAAGCTCCTGAATCAAAACTCTTTACTACTGTCTAATGGTTGAAACAACTTGGCTCTCAAAACTCTTTACTACTGCTTCCAAAACATTACTAATCTAGAGAGATTTATATATCTGAAAAGGAAAACTACTATTTGATAGCAAATTTCAGAGAATAAGCTGAGATATCAGCAGTGCATAGACACAATGCCCTCCTCCTTCCTATTCACAACCATGTTCTATAAATCCCTTCAATATGTCTGTTCTATTACTGACACTAATTTGAAGGTTTATATGACCAGAAGAAGATAACATATATGTGGAATCAATCAAACTGCAATATCAATGCCAACTGCACAATTTTCCGTAGGATAGAACATGGAAACCAATTGAATGCTCCAAATGTAAAGATGGCATTTTCACAAACACAAGCAATAACCATGTGAAAGAACCAATACCTACATCCCCTTGCTTGGCTGCGATGTGGAGAGCATCGTAGCCGTTCTTGGCCTTTATTCCAGCCGCTGCAACATCATAATACTTGATCATCTCTTGCACCACATCGACGTAGCCATACTCGGCGGCGACGAACAAAGCGGTCTCCCCAGCCTGATTCTGCCTACTCAACAGTTCCTTCAGGTCCTCGTCATCGGCTCCCGAGAGGAGCCCATTCACCACGGCCAGATTCCCTGACCGGGCAGCAGAATGCAAGGGGGTGTCGTCGCGCTTCCCGGTCAGCTGCTTCGTCATCTTCTTCCGGCGGAAACTCTGCCGCCCGACCGACGAATCCATCTCCATTTCCTGATTGAAGTGGTAACGGCTATGTCCTGTTCGACGAAATTCTCAGGCCCATCCACGGCACATGCAACCAAAGATGCCGGCTACTCAGCATGTATTTGCTCAAAAGAATGCCCGCAACACTCTAAAACTCTCGTTGGAGGATCGTCCTTCCTCAAACATAAGACCCTGCAGCAAGAAGTAACATGGCATTTACCGCATAATTTTGTGCCCCTTGTTCCACCCTTTCAAGCTTTACATTGCCAAATGATCCCTCTCTGAATCTTCCAAAAGGGGTTCTGCTGATTCCAATTCAAAGCAAGGGGGAAACAAAAGAATAATAAAAGGACGGAAAAGGAACAGAAGATGACACAGCCCACATGACCTAAGCACTATTCAATTGAGGATGATAGGGAAGCACATTGGCTCCACTCAGCTCCAAACCTTACCCAGTACCCAAAAAGATGGCATTTTGGAACCATTGGAATGGATACAAAGGGCGACAGCATGGGGAAGAAGATCGGATGTGGATTCCGATAAGAAAAATGAATCACATGGGGGCGGGAGAGAGATCGAAGTACCTCTAGCTCCGATGATCCCAGAACCCATTCCAACTTCCTGCCATGTGGAAATGGGTCCTCATTCAATTCGCGGGGAGCTCCGTGGGGGGTCTCTTGCCTCTCAACCAATGATGAGGAAGACGACGCCCATTTACATCCATACCGAACAGAAAGACAAAGGCATTTATATTCCCATGAAGCATGGAACAAACTGCATGAAGCATGTGAAGATGGCGTTACGGCGTAGAACAAAATCCCCAACAAATGGTCAAGAAATCAAAAGGAAAAGGCAGAATAATTAGCAGCAGGTGGCGTTACCGACCGGGCTGGACGAGGAAGACCGCGAGCGGAAGGAGGGATTGACCGTTGACCTGGCAACTCCCCCCTCCGTATTCGTTGCTTCCAGGTGGGACCCGCTCGCTTCCGGCGTGTTCGTGGGGGCTATTTTTGGCGACGAGAGAATGGCCCCACTTGCGCCGTTCCTCCAATAACTGTCGAGGTGAGAAACGGGGTGGGTCCGACTCGAGGTTCCAGTTTTGGTGCCCCACAGCACACGCGTGGGGTGGTCCCACGCGTGTCGTGTGGGTGACGAGGAAGGCCGACGTGGACTGCTTCTTCGTCTACACTTTACATACGTGTGTGCCGTACGAAGAAAACAAGGAACCTTCTTTGGGGCCCACAAGAGCGGTTTTATTTTATTTTTTAATATTTAAAAAGAATCATTTTAACATTTTAAAATATATATTTTTAACATTTAGGAATTAAAAAAATATTTTTAAACGTCCTATTTGTGCCCTTTGTGAAAAAAAAAATACTATTATGTGAATTATTGAAACAATATATGTCTTATTATATTATTTTCTGCAGAATAGCATGAAACTTAATTCATATAGACGCATCTAAAACGTATTATGTCATCTAATATTCTTTGTTTTCGTGACTACTAACAACCTGCGCATGTGGCAGGTCACGACTTTGTACCTAACAACCGACGACTCATTTATTACAACGCGATGACAACCATTCGTCGCCCGACTCGTCGATTTGCTGTTGGAATCCATGCAACGACTTGACCGTGTTACGTGCACTACGAGTCCACTGCGGTCTGCATGCATGTGTAGTCAACTTTATTATTATTATTATTATTATAAATAGAAAAAATATTTTCTAAAGATATTTAAATCTTTTTTTATTATAAGGAGGAAAGAGAAGGCAAGCTTATTATGTATGATATTATTTTTATATTTTTAAAATTTTAAAAATTTTATTAAATATTCAATCACTAAGTCAGTCAACATGCAATCCATTTATGAAAAAATAATAAAATTTATCTACATTAGAAAATTATAATTTCTCATATTGAGATATATAAATAATAATAATAATAAATTGGACAAATATGTTGCATTCTACTTTGGCTGGTTGGGTGAAATGCACAAGAACATTTAATTGTTAACATACCTAACCCCCCCAATGTGTAATATGATCATTTCATCAGCATTTGGAAGCCAAGAGAAATGAAGTCAACCACTTAGTCATCTTAAGTTAACCAATGCCTTTTATTAGTCCTTTCTTATTAATGGCATTAATGATAGATAGGTCAACATGGACCCACGTGGGTCCCACCACTCGGGCCAAATGAACGAGAAGGTTTTGGATGTCTATTGTTTCAACGTTTCAAAATGATACATTTGTGCTACAAATATTTATTTTCCCATATGTACCCTCCAATTAACATCAACTACACAAATTTTGGTTTAAGCACTGCTATTAACTTCATTATTAGGAACTAAATTGAATTTAATAATATTTAATTAATGAGCAAAATAACTAAAATTCCTGCAATATTTATTTTTAATTATACTATAGAGGACATATATAAATATATCCCTAAAGTTGGAAGAATATTTGTGTGTATGTAATAATAATAATAATAATCTCCTTTTGAAATTGTCAAAAAATTCGCCACTCACCACCTCTCGTCTCTCTCTCTCCCTCCCCTCGCGTGGCTCTTTCGCCATACAGCTTGGCAACCTTCGCGTAGCCATGGCGTTTCCTACCATTCGGTAGCGCAAGGGAGGAGAAGGCTGGAGGAGGACGGCGATGAAGACGATGGCCCTCCAATTCGAAAAAGGTAACGCCTTTCCCCCTCCCACCACCTCTCGCCGCCCCGATTCTGCTTATCCCGATATCTCGTTTCCTCCATGAAGGGGAGAGGGACCTCGAATTGGGACCGGCGAGCCTAAACTACAGCCCGCCATTTGCTCCCATCCGCACGATGGTTCTCTCGCACTCCGGCAGGCGCTTGGACCAAGAGGTGGCGGCGTCCTCCTCGTCGGCGCCCGCCACGCCGGCCCTGGTGCTGTCCAACTCCGGGAAGCGGATGGACCAGGCGGCGTCGCCGTCTCTAGTTCTATCCAATTCCGGGAAGCGGATGGATCCCTCGGGGAAGAAGAAATACGTGAAGCAGGTGACCGGGCGGCACAATGACACGGAGCTCCACCTCGCGGCGCATCGCGGGGACCTCGCGGCGGTGCGGCAGATCCTCGGCGAGATCGACGCCCAGATGACGGGGACGGCAATGGGCGCCGATTTCGACGCCGAGGTGGCGGAGATACGGGCGGCCGTGGTGAACGACGTCAACGAGGAGGACGAGACGGCTCTGTTCACGGCAGCCCAAAAAGGGTTTCTCGATGTGGTGGTCGAGCTGCTCAAGTACACCGACCGAGAGAGCCTCACGAGGAAGAACAGATCCGGGTTTGACGTTTTCCATATCGCCGCTAGAGAAGGGCATCAAGGTGAGAAGAGCTTTCATCACCAAACTTCCTCAATTGTGCTGTTATCGTGGAACCCTAGATTCGGTAAAAGCTGCTTCGTCAATTAATTGCCTTCCGTTCTGCCTCAAATAGTGGATTTGATGTCGGAATGGAGTGACACTAGATTTACTGGCAGATACTAATAAAGCCTATTCAACCACACCTTTGATTTTAATGCTTCAACATCTGAACTAATTGAATGCTAAGGAAGTGCATCACATTCTTGGATTTTACTATATGCCAACCTCTGTGTGATTGATGCATTACATACTGAAAGAGCTTCATACATTAGGAGATTCAGATTGCTCTCTCAGGTGACTCTTTTCAGAGTTTTGAGGAACATAACAATATATTCGATTTAGCTTGCTCTTTTGAACCTCTTAAATGTCCATGCCGAACTATTTGCACTTGTTCCAAATAATAATAATAATTGTAAAACTTGTACTGGATACATGGTTTAGCCAATTGTTCCTGTAGTTGCTAATTGTTTTCATTTCTTGTAGATGGGAAATTCTTGTAATTGTGTGGTATGTGTCGATTATATATTTTGCTGGTACGAAGCCTTCAATGGTCTACGATTTGTGGAAACATCTTGACTGACAAAAGGTGGAATGCATTTAAAACTTTAGGGCTGCAAATAGTGCTGCTTTAGTTTTCAAGAGGCTATAACACCGAAGCATGTATTTTACAATGATGCGAACAAATATAAAGGCACTTACTTTTATATTTTGATTCGAGTATCAACATTCAAATGAAAACAGATTCCATTAGTAGTTAAAATTTATTTTGTTCTCTTTCTCTTTTTCTTTTTTATGCTGGAATTTATGTTCATACCTATTGTTGTAGGTCTTTCTCTGATACATTTGTGTTTCATATATAATTAGGATACATCGCTATCATCAATTTTTACTATTTTTCAAGTCACCATGAATTTAGATTCAGGTGACATATCTGCCTTTGCCTTCATTTGTTCCCAAGCAAATGGTGTTATCACACGCTATTCGTCATTTGTTTCATTGTATTGTCTCCGTAGCTTCATTTTCAACTCTTGTCCATTACAGTAGCAGATCTAGCTCTAATCATTGATGTACAGCAATTGTTCAGGTACTTTTGGGACATGATCCAACTCTTGTCAAAACTTTTGGTCAATCAAATGCTACCCCCCTTATAACTGCAGCAACAAGAGGACACACTGAAGTTGTGAATCTCTTGCTTGAACAAGATGATAGCTTAATCGAGTTATCCAAAAAAAATGGAAAAAATGCACTGCACTTTGCTGCAAGACAGGGACATGTGGAGATTGTAAAAGCATTGTTGGGAAAGGATCCACAGCTTGCCAGAAGAACTGATAAGAAAGGGCAAACTGCTTTGCACATGGCAGTGAAGGGAACAAGTTGTGAAGTTGTTAAAGCCCTTCTGAATACAGATCCAGCTATTGTTATGCTACCAGACAGAGCTGCAAACACAGCATTACATGTTGCAACAAGGAAAAAACGTGCAGAGGTATTACTTCGTGATGCTTTTTGGTTACATGTGGATTGAGTTTTTTTTTTTTGTGTTACAATTTGAATGCATATACTGTTCTGGTTGCCTATATTAGTTGCATGGGTTTTTGGAATCATGATGATTAAAGAGGTACACCAGTTTATTGACACTTTTTTACTTGAACTAGTGTTCCCTTTAACATTTCATTTCATCGAGGAAATTGGAAGAAGATATTGCATTTGCAAAAGCTTCACCCTCTTACTAGGTACTTTACAGAATCTCGATTGTTTGTTCTTCAATGACCGTAGGAAGCAATTTGCAAAGAAGGTTGAGTACTGACTGAAGCTTGAGACATTTGGTTAATCATCATTCAGTGGCTAGTTTGTGTTGTGTGTCATGTGTGCCTGCTGGGGATGTGTATATCCATGTGTTTGTGTTTGTGTTTGTTTTTGTGCCACTGTTTGTGCTACCTGCAAGTTGACATGAAACCGATATAGTTCACTAACACCTTAATGTAACACAGGTTGGCACATTGGAGGTAAAATCTGTATAACGAGCATATTACATAGCATCTGATATATGCTGTTGGGTGTATGTGAAGAATGGTACATCAGAAACAAATCCTATCACTCAAAATCACATGATTTAGATTGGTGTGTGCAGTCAGTTTATTGATATACTAGATAACATTGGGCATGTAGATGCTTCTGTTGGCAAAGAAAGGGTGAAGACAGGGTAAAAGTTTTAACTATAATATGAATTATGTGGCAGATCGATCAATTTCTTGGGGAGGCCTTTGGAGTTTGTAAACGACATTACTTTAGATATGAATGCCAAAGAACAACAGAAACATGGGTTCTTTTCTATTCCTGTTCCAGGGTGAAGTAATTTAGGTATGGAAGTTTGCAAAAAAAGTTTTTTTTTTCTTATTGTTTTTCCCAGCATATAATTTGTTTACATTCGCTCAATATTCATGTCCCTGTGAACAGTTCCATTGCAGAATTATTAACCCACTGATGAATTTTTATTAAGCACTTTAGCTTCCCTCAGAGGTCTTTGTTCGTCGAGATGTTATCAATATCTTGTGACACCTTCAGCCATTGAGAGATTTGCTGATGTGTCTGTCAACTGTACTCATTGTTATTTTTGCTACTATGGATAATCAAATAGCAAAGAAACAAGAAACCTGCATTATTTTCTTACATGCATAATTCAAATTCTTCTCACTTTTTGCAGATAGTTCATCTCCTAGTTCTCCTTCCAGATATAAATGTGAATGCATTGACAAGAGACCATAAAACTGCTTTTGATATTGCCGAAGGCCTACCTCTTTCTGAAGAGTCTTCTGATATCAAGGACTCCCTATCTCGTTGTGGAGCATGCAGAGCCAATGAACTAAATCAACCACGAGATGAGCTACGGAGGACTGTAACAGAGATAAAAAAAGATGTTCATATACAGCTTGAGCAGACTCGGAAAACAAACAAAAATGTCAATGGGATTGCCAAGGAGCTGAGGAAACTTCACAGAGAAGGCATTAACAATGCCACCAACTCTGTTACAGTGGTTGCTGTGCTCTTTGCGACGGTGGCATTCGCGGCTATCTTTACAGTGCCTGGTGGAACTGGAGATGATGGAGTAGCAGAAGTTGTGCATAAAGGGTCTTTCAAGATATTTTTCATCTTTAATGCTATTGCCCTGTTCACTTCATTGGCCGTGGTGGTGGTTCAGATAACACTCGTCAGGGGCGAAACAAAGGCAGAGCGGCGGGTCGTCGAGATCATAAACAAGTTGATGTGGTTGGCTTCCATCTGCACTACTGTCGCTTTCATTGCCTCGTCCTATATTGTTGTGGGTCGGCATTTTCAGTGGGCCGCTATTCTAGTTACGCTAATTGGTGGACTGATAATGGCTGGTGTTCTTGGCACCATGACTTTCTACGTCGTGAAATCAAAGCGGACTCGTTCTATCAGGAGGCGAGAGAAATCCATGAGGAGCACTTCAAACTCATGGCATCACAACCATGAGTTCTCTGATTCTGAAGTCGATAGGATTTACGCCATCTAAATCGAGGATAAACCTCAGTTTTTGCGTCCTTATACATCTGATCTCTGTTTTATGTGAACTCTTTGTTGCTACATGTCCTAAGAAATCCCAGCTGATGTTGGTATTACATTAAGGCTGTATGGATTACAGTTTGCTGCCATGAACTTGTATCTGATAGTTTTGTCTGAGTTCTCTTAGCATGCCACTGCAGAAATGGATAATCTGCAGCTCTTATTAAACTTCTCATCCATGAGGTCTTTGTATTGGTGCAATTCTTGACTATTTTAATTGAATGTTTTGATCAACTTTAGACCTCATCAGTGGTGAAAGCCCTCTCCCTATGGAGTGGATTGCAGAGCCTTATGTAACTTAAAAGACTTTGGTGTGGCCTTTGGAGCAGTTGACGTGCTTGTGGCTGAACCACATCAACATGACACTGTTTCAAATGGATCCTCTCAAACTAAACATCCCAAAGAAGAAGAAAGATTCGCGATAACTAATGTTGACTATCTATGAGAAGAATGGAAAAAATTATCAATAAATCCGATATTATTTCAAATCAACCAATAAACCTTTGTTTTTTCGACACTATAACTCTGATAATCCAAACTTTGGGTCGATTCATATCTGTAATAATTGGAAATGTTTTTAGAATTTATATTTATAATAATTTCGAAATGAAAGAAAAGAAGTGTTTTTAAAAACACTTCTTTTTTCATTCAAATATTGAATGGCACTAGACATAAGTAACTTAATTAAGAAATTATCATCTTTACCTTTAAAAAAATATGGATTTTTTTTAAACGTAATATCTAAAAAAATGACCAATAATAGTCATCCGCATAAAACATTTGAATAACTTAATAATATCATATTTATTATTGATGAACTAATGCGTCATGGTTGATGAGTCAGTACGGCTTGGTCCACGGGTCGATGTCGATAGTCTTTGGTCGACTGAACTGGTTGTCGAGATCGGTCAAACCCTTGAAACGGGGTGTTGGCGTCGGAACGTTGATTGGCGTCTCTCGGTTCGAACGTTGGTTGGCGGCTTACCGTCGGGATGCTGGTCGACGACTCTTGGTCGGAATGCTCGTGGCTCGGGGGGTAGCCGCTTTCCTGTCAGGATGGCCCTCGTTGGGTGATTGCCGACTTTGGCCCCTCCGACGAGCAAGTCAGTATTGGGTTGATGTTTTTTTTTTTTGTCTCTCCCTAGGCCAGATGCCGGCCAAAGGCTTTTATACTACTGTACGAGAGTCGGTCGTACGCGAATTTGACGTGACGATCGATCCTCGAGGGGTGAGATGGTACCTTTGTGTGGCCGTCGTCCCGGGACGCATGGAACGGTGCCATAAGACCCGAACTTTCCGGGACGGGACATATCGAGCAATGCTTTGGTACGTATTTTGGCTCAGTGCATGGGGGTGCTCCTCTTGCTGACTTGGCAGTAGTGTGGCGTGGCATTGATTGAGACGTGGCCTGGACCCAAAATATACCTTATCAGTTACGTTCATCATTATTATAGAGTAAGTACTAACATTGTGGATTGATGGTTTTCTTAAATTTATAATGTACTAACATTGTAGATCGATGAAAATTAAAAAATATATATATATATTAATTTTCATCAATCTATCAAAGTATGAATTGAAGTTTCCGAGTGCTAACCGTTCGTGTTATAATTATATGTATTCAACCTTTCCTACCCGTCCATCCTAATTCGAGGAAGCCGGCTTGGGTGTCGGTGGATGGGAGCTCGTCGGTGGTTTTGCTGCTTCCCGAAGGAAACGTTCACTCATCGTCCTCACAGCTCGCCGTCGTCCGATCAACTGTCGCATCCCACGTCTTCCGCTCCCCCCGCTGCTCCTCCCTTCGTTAGCGTCCCAACGGCAGCGGCGGGGGTGACGAAGGAAATGGGCGCAAAACTGCCTTACGCCCACGTCGATGCGCGCTTACGAGCCCTAGCCGGACAGGCCGAGGGCTTCGGCCGCCACGCCATCGGAGGCCTCCATGGACCCATCTATCATGTCACCTCCTTGGCTGGTTCCCCCCTTCTCCCTCCACTGCCTCCCTATTGCTCGTTAGGGCTTTATGATTGCTCTTGTTTTGTTCATGGTTCTAGTTTTCGGATCTTATCCATCGGTCTTTGTTGTTGTTCTTCGTATTCGCGTGCTGTATCGTTTAGATTCATCAACCATAGCCTCACAAGAAGATACCTTGTGTCAGCGTACAATGCGACCAAGATTCCTGATCTTTTAAGATAAATATTGTTTCTTTGTCTAATTTATTCTACCGTTTTTACCCCTTAAAATTCTAGGTTTTAAAGTACGATTATTGTTATTGCTGATTAAGGTTATATATACGTTGCTTATGCTGATTCCATCCGTGTACTTTCGAGATTGAGATTAGGCCCTCTGCTGTTCCTCTCTTCAGGGGATCTCTTTTAGCCCCATTTAAGACGTCATTTATCTTACAACGTACAATTATGTTATGACTGCATTAGGAAATTCTGAATAGTTGTGATATTGTGGTTCCATTGCTTGTTCACGAATTATTACAGATGATACATCTTACAAGTGGTAATCTCTTATCACCACCAAGAAAATAAAATAGAATTAGGAAATGAATGAAGAAATTTTATTAATGCTACTGGTTGAATTCTATTAATCTGTACCTAAACATAGGTGGTGTTGTCAAAGTTTCTTATTTACTTTGTGATTGTTAGGTTGTCTGTATATATGACTGCCATTTCTTACACCTATTTTCTCTAATTTCTGTGGTTGCTGAAAGAACCTCATTCTCCCTTATGATTGTGAAGATGATGGCCCTGGCTCGCTTCGTGAGGCATGCCGCATAAGAGAACCACTCTGGATCATTTTTGAGATTTCAGGAACCATCCATCTTTCTTCGTACTTGAGGGTATCCTCCTATAAGACAATTGATGGTCGAGGACAGAGGATAAAGTTGACTGGCAAAGGTTTGCAGCTGAAAGAGTGTGAACATATAATCATATGCAATCTGGAGTTTGAAGGTGGTAGAGGACATGATGTTGATGGTATTCAGATAAAACCCAAGTCAAGGCATATTTGGATAGATCGCTGCAGCCTGCGTGATTATGACGATGGACTTATTGATATCACTCGTGAAAGCACTGATGTCACTGTTTCAAGGTAATGTAGAAAAAGGCATTTTACTATGTGGATTTAAATTAGTTGTCTTTGTAAAAACTTATGTGATTCCATAAATAAGCATTTTAGTCATTAGAAAATTTAAATTGTCTAGTTTGACTTCCTTCTCAGAATGGTTTCAAGGTGCATGGTCTTATCATCCTAATTGGTGTAGAAGTTTCAAAGTTACCAAAATACATCCCTTTCAACTTATCAAGAAGCACCTAGTACTAACACAGTCTAATCTTTGAATGCATTTATTGAACTTGGGCAAACTCCATTGTTCATTCGCTCTGTTTGGCGATCCCCTCTTTCTCGTTTGAAGTGCATGTTCGAATGTAGCAATGTTATGATGATTTACAAGTGATAGGTGTGCCAGTCGGCTCAAAATATTATGGGGCCCAGAGTGGCAGAATTAATTGGTCTCTAACTTCCTGAATTCTAGCATTATTAGTAATGTACTTCCGACATGCGAAAAGTGTGAGAACCTTTATCCCTAGGAATCACTAACAATGCCTGTCTAATACTATGAAGTTTTGAATAAGGTGCTTTATGTGAATAGTATGAGGAGCTTATATATTTAATTAATAATAAGAATTGCACAATTATATGATTCTAATTTGTTAGCTTGAACAGATGTCACTTCGCAATGCATGACAAAACAATGCTTATCGGAGCAGATAGTAGCCACATCACAGATAGATGTATCCGTGTTACCATTCATCACTGTTTCTTTGATGGAACAAGGCAGCGGCATCCTCGACTTAGATTTGGCAGAGTCCACCTTTATAACAACTACACAAGAAATTGGGGCATATATGCTGTTTGTGCCAGTGTAGAAGCACAGGTCCTTCTGGATTACTAATAGTTCACATGTTCATTTTTTTTTTAATTTTGAAAGCGTGTTTTCATTCACTTCTAATAAAATTTTCTTCCTTACATGATTTGGCTTTAGATCCTTTCTCAATGCAACATTTATGAAGCAGGCCAGAAGAAGGTGGTTTTCAAGTACATGCCTGAGAAGGTGTGACAGTGAGCAGCTACTTCCATGCATTTGAAAGTTGATATAGGGAATAAGTTTGTGTATTTACTTATATGTGGATCTTATTTTGGCATTTGTTGATGTCAATGAGCTTTCTACAATCCATACCATGCAGTGCCAAAAATTAGAATTTAGAAAAACAGAAGGTTACTCCATTTCATTGTGAAGGATTTTTATGGTTACTTTTCATGTTTTCTTTTTCCGATCTCTGATCTGTCAAAAAATTTTCCAGAACCAAATCAGCACTGATAACTTGCTGTTGTGCATCTCATTGGTGCAGGCGGCAGACAGAGAAGAGGTCGCATCAGGGTGGATAAGGTCTGAAGGTGATTTGTTTATGAATGGTGCCCAGCCTTGTTTGATACAAGGTGCCGGTGTTGAAAGCGTTTTCAATGCCTTGGAACACTACCCAACATGGACCATGGAGCCAGCATCTGTGGCTCTCAAAGAGGTTCTCCAGTTATGTTCAGGATGGCAAGCATTACAAAGACCAGCAGATTGGTAGTACTGCCGAAGGTGATTTTGTCTGAATTATTCAACCTAGTTTGTTTCGACCGAATCCAAGTCAATTTGCTTCCAGAGTTTGTGTCGCAGTCATTGGTTATAAATAAATGGTGAAGACGAAGACACATGTTGATCTCAAGACCCATATCCATATCAACATCAGAAAGTCTTTACAACCAAATTAATTAGTGCCTTTAAATAATAATAAAAAATTGTACGTTGATTCTGCTTTTTATACCCTTGACCTTTTTGTTGTCTTGGATGCATTATAAATTCTTGTCAAGCTACCTTAACTTAGAAGTGGAGGTTTAATTGTTTTCTGGGGTTGTAGTTCTTCTTGGGATATGAGCAAAAAGGAAAATGATGTGGACCATTCTGGATATGATTGTATTGCGTGTGCTCTTTTCTTGGGATATGAGCAAAAAGGAAAATGATGTGGACCATTCTGGATATGATTGAATTGTCATGGTGTGCTCTTTGCTTTTGTTACTCTCTATTATTGAAGCTTCTATCTATCATATGAGAAAAAAGTAAAATTGGGAATGTACTCTTGAACAAAATTAAAATTAACTTATAAGGATCTAATGAATATATTATTATTAAGTTAAATTTAAATATTTTAACTAATAATTTGGATTAAACAAAATTGATAGATGGCTTGTGATATTTGGGTGTCATGAAGTTGATCTACTCAAATTGTGATATTTGGATCTCAAGAAGTTGATAGATAGCTTGAGTCGGGCCACAGTAAATCCTCCAACAACACTACGAGGCAAGATGCTTTGAGATTCGTATTGTTTCTGTGGACACAAAAGAACATGTTGATGCTGTAATGGTTTTATGGAGGCACACAAACTTGGATCAAGTTAGCACTGATCAATAATATATAAAATTTTAATTTTATTAAATGACATGTAAAACGTCATGATTGGAATATGAGATCTATGGCTTGTATTATAATGCACTAAAAATAGCTCGATAAGGCTTTTGCAAAAGAAAAGGAAATGACACTGCAATATATGAGCAGAAATGGTCATGTTCTACAAATTGCAATGTAAAATATCCCTATGCAACCATTAATGGCCTCTTTATAGTTATCAAGGTAGTAGTCTAATTGAATAGCAAAAAGTTTTGTACTGATTTAGGAAAGATAAGACTTTGGCAAGCATGATGGCAGTAAAGCTGATGACAGTTGCATAACCATTCACACTGAGACTCTTGTATACACATTGCAAAGTAAGGTTGAGAATCCAGGCATGATAAGATGAGTACTTGGCATGACATGCTACCATCAATTTAATCGATAAAGAGTAAGTTATACATACAACACATGTAAGTTTGACATTTGATATCATAGCAATTGTATTAACAAAGCGCTAAACTCGGATGCCACCTAGCTTTTGGAAGATATGATCCCCTAAGAATTACAAAAAGTAACTAAACCGAATTGACGAGACTAGAACATACATGGTCGATGCCTCCCGACAGGAATACTGAGCAGTGACTGGATATAACGATGCAGCTTAAAGAATATGAACATTATCATGGTTGCTAGATTAGCGACTGATGCACCTTGCCTTGTCTATTACTTTCACCAAAGCAACTCCGGTGTAGCTCTAACTGAGACAAACTCACTGACAAGTTCCTCCAAGATGTCATCATTTAACAAGCTCTCCATCTCTGTTGCAATCAAGCCGATATCATATTCCAAGCAGAACCATCCTGGCTCCAGGATCTTGTTTTCTCGATTGCAATCCACCTCCTTCTTTTGCTTGGCCACCATTTGCCACAGACCTTCAACAAGGCCTGCACCATCCCATGATGGCTGACAAATCTTTGATGTTACCCTCGGGTGCACATCCATGCATGAGGTGACTAAACCAGCTAGAGTGCAATTTATAAGATCAAACAGAAACTTTCTTTCTGATCTTGACCATGATGCAATTTTTTCATACTTCTTCTCAATTTTACTGAAGATATTTTGGTCCACAGGGTAACCTAGCAAGTAGCAGGCACCCACGAGCTTCTTGTCATCAACACCATGGATACCTGACTCTATAAGCATGTCAAGTAGGTACGTGAAGTCTCTATCATCATCATCTATGAATCGTTGATGTACCTCCCTTGAAGGCAGACGCTTGTGACTGTCGCTTGCAGAGTCTTCTTCGCTCAGCATGAGAACATCTGTTTCTTCTGAACATGCAGTGACAGACTCCAGTTTGAGAAGTTGAAGCTGCATGCGCAGCTCTGCAGTTTGGAGAAGATACAACTGTAAAATCCAGAAAAATTAGGAGAAGATACAAATCAAAGAAAAGGTTGTTCACTTACCCTTAAGATCTGCAGTCAATCTTTCAAAGCATTCTGAGCTGTAGGTTTTATCTTCAGATGGAGTCTCTAGAACAGAGACTGGACTTGGCTGTTCAACAAGCTTCTTGGAGCTTAGAGGATGTGATTCAGCCACACCAGATTCAGATGGAAGCAGCTTCACTTGCAGATGGTCGTTTGATGTTCCCTGAAAGTGTATAATTTGCTTTTGAGAAACTGAGTGATACAAAAGCTCATTTCATGTATAAAAATAGACATGAAATCAACCTAATTCAAGGATTCATAAAGCATAATATGGACCAAAAACAATGAACTTTCACAATTTTTTATAATATGGAGTGTGCATCGATGTGACAGCAGTCACCTACTACAGTCAAATAGAAGCATGTCAATTTCTGTGAGCTGTGAGAAATAAATAAATATTCACTGCTAGTAAGACAAGCTGTGCCAGGAAAACCATTTACAACTACTCATTTATTACATGTACTTTGACTATAAAATAATCAATTAACCGATGACAACAACTGATATTTGGCTGGGGTGGTAGCAACTAGAAACATATCAAAGATCTTACATGGAGTTCACGCTCCTATATGGGTATAAAGTGATGGCTGTGTGAGTGGAAACAGAGAGAAAGCTTCAATACGTCCTACAAAAAATCTTTTGCTCAATATGCAACCAATTGCATCTAAAAAATTTTGCAATACAGAATTTAGTAAAGTGAAAAAAGGCATGAACTTTTGTGAACATATTATACTTAACATAGAGAAGAAAAGAGGTAAATCATCCTTGGACACCAAATGATTCATTTTGGTCACGATGATCATTACCACTACCAAAGAAAATTTTACTAAAGAAATGTGATTCCAGAAGAGCACCTCAATCACTATAACATTCTTAATGTGGCCATATGATCCTTCATTCTCTAATGACTCTTGATATGCACTTTGCATTGTCTGTTCTTCTTGAGCAGTCAAATGCCATGGCTCATCTCTGAGTATTGGAATCGATGCATTGCTTATTAGCTGACTTCTGTCAGAAATGCCATAATCAGTAGGTGAAGGGTGTAATGTCCTTTTGTCAACAAAATGTCTCAAATGAATACTCTTTCTCAATCCTTCTGAATTAGCATGAATCTCCCATTCAGGTAGCATATTTTCCTCTCCAATAGAATAAGTTTGCATATACTTGTGAGTTTGATGCTTAGATGGTTTTAGTGGTGGTTTTCCAGGCTTAGTAAAACTTGCATCTGAGGAGACAGATGGTTTCATATCTCGTACATCTTTGATCATAGTTTTTCTATTCCCTTCATTTCGTTTTCTGTCGGTCAATTCAGGGCTACATGAAACTGGAAGTGACTTTAACCTTGGTAAGTATCGGGAACTCCCTTCTGTGCAGCCACTGTTGCTGCTAATACCCAATGGACAGTCCTTGTTTCCAAGTACCTCACTGTTAGCCAAATTTTCTTCTGAAACTTTCTTAGCATCTAACATCTCCATGGTAACCTTTGGTACCTCTCTGTCAGATAGTGCAAGAATTTCCCCCAGTGTGCTTGAGCCATGAGGAATAAGTCTCATATTCTGAAACTCATGGGTTAACTTCCATCTTTCACACAGGCGTCTTCGAGCCTCTCTGCTCACAGAAGATTCAGTAGAATATGACAATGAGGGGCTGATACTGCTACAACACTCACCAAAATGGCCAGGAGACTGACTAATTGCTTCTGAGTGGTAGAGACTACAAAATCCTGGAAAGCTACATGAGTCCATGTTCCCAGCATATGGATTCATTTCTGAGGTAGAACCCTTATTGGTATGGCTAATAGTGTGCCTGAGCTTTCTCCTAATTTCTTTAGGAATCTCTCTTGAACCCTTGATTTTGTGGCAAAATACCTGTGTGTGATGGAACCTCTGTCTGCTTTCGTTGTCATGTAACTCGTCAGTTCCAGATGCTGCAATTTCTCTGCACCTTTTGGAACAAAACCTGAAACTCTCTTGGGGAAAATAATTAGCCTCTGCCATCTTTTGGGATTTTTCAAGGTTAGGTTTCAAGATAACAATTTGAGCAGGATGAACATCAACTTCAGTTTTGCCCACATGTGATGCAGTTAAATTATGTGAAAGAAAACCATTGTTTTCTTCAACATAGTGCTTGTTAAGTCTTGTCATATGCATTGTACAAGATCCCGTGACTTCTTGTGACATAGGAAAGCACCTATCAGGATTTCTTTCTGATCTAAACTTATACCAAACTTCATTTCTTGAATGCTTAGTACCTTTAGACGGTCTTAAATTTGTAATCTTGCTTTGATCAGGTGAGGGTGGTGATCGGTTCAGATCTCGAAGATGCTTTGCAAATAAAGAATTGGGATCTTGAAGAAGTTCCAGGAAAAGATCCTTGCTTTGGCCTGGGACTTTAACTGCATCATTGAATTTTCTAGAATTTTGAAGCATTTCATCGGTTGAGAAATGCTCTATAACCATAGATTTTTGCCTTATAAGATCCATGTCAATTTTATTTCCTCTGTGACTAAGCATCCCACCATTGTTAGAGTAATTCTTGTGCTTCTTCTTTTTGGATGTTTCTGTTACTTCAAAAACATCTTTGAACTCTTGGTCCTCAATGGCACTCCTCTGGTATGAATGGTCCTCAGGATGTACATGATTCTCCAAAAAGCCTATAGATGATGAGGTCTGACAATAACAATCCATATTTTTCTGTTGTCTCACTGGAGAGGGGAGCGAATCAAGACCCATCAGCCTTGCGATTAAATTTGGTGAGGGACGCTTAATTTCTTTCTCGTTTGATACCATCATCTCTCTTATAGGAATCTGACTGGCTTTCTTGGAGGAGCTTTGCCTGATTTCAAGAGTAAACTGGGAACATTGAAGCATTTGAATAAGTCTCTACTGGGAAAAAGTTTATTCAAAGACATCTATTCAAAATTGGAAAAAAGCAGCAGCCCATATTTTAATAAGTGCAAAACAAAAACTA